CTCTCTCTCTCTCTCTCTCTCTCTCTCTCTCTCTCTCTCTCTCTCTCTCTCTCTCTCTCTCTCTCTCTCCTCTTTACTCTTTCTCTCTCTCTGTCGCGCGCGCGCGCTGCCCCTTTTTGGCAGCAGGGGGTACAAACTCCCCTCCTGGGAAAATAGGGGACGGTTCTCAGCGCCGCCTGGACTCCTCCGGAAATGGCGAATTAAACCGCGGGTCACGTGACGAGTCACAGCGCGGACCCTTTGACCCCTCTCCGGTTAGGTGTTATTTTTAAAAGTAAAATGAAATTAAATGGTATAAAATTTAAAGCCAACGGCACACGATACTATTTTTCCTACTGGATTGCTTGCGAGAGCCAATAAGGATGCAGAGTTTTTAATCAGGTGACGTGCGGCTAAATCCATATCTTTTTTTATTAGACTCCTGAATTGAGTGTTTTCGTGTTTTACGATAAAACGTTTGCGTCTTAAGCCTATCACACAATACCAGGCGACAGGAACAGGGGAATAGAATTTCCGACGCGATCGATTTGGTTGGAAGAAAATTTCCGACGAATCCAACGCGTCAAAAATTCTATTCCCTATTCCTATTGCCTGTTGCCCGACATTGTGCGATAGGCTTTACGTGATCCGAGGATGGGATGGGATCAGCTGATTCTCCAAGCCTCTCCGATTGGCTGCAACGCGTCACGTGGTCCATGCGTGCGTTTGTTTAAAATAAGTTTGAAAGTTGTCCCGCCATGTTGTGTAAACGTACGCGCGCGGCGACCGAGCGTTGACGAGAAGTGACATTCCGTCGTGACCACGGACGAACCGCCCGACAATGGCCGGGAATGATACGTTGAACGTAGATGAGGAATTGAAATCCGAGAGGACCGTCCGCAAGCGGAGATCGTTGATCTTCCAAGCGCGTGCCAAGACGTGCGAACGGAATGAAGGTTAGTTCGTTCTGCGAAGTGTTGCGGTCGAAACATCATCGCCGAATCCCGAATCTAAAGATACAAAACTGGAGATCGGATGTGGATTCTTACGGGCGACGTTTCGTTCCGAAAATGCCAACTTTTATGTCAAGAATCTGCTGAGCTCCGGAACAATTACTCTAATAACCGAACGTCTTCTTCCAGGTGAAGTTACAATCAACGAGAGCGATCCTACCTCGAAGGATGAGGACGAGCGCGATGCAAAGGACGGTGCCGAGGTTTTCAATATGACGGAATACTTGGAGAAGCTCAGGCAGGAGCGAAAGGACTGGCAAGAGGAGTATAGGAATCGCAAGGCTCAACGGAGAAACCTGGCCAAGCAGAAAGCAAGCGTGGAGAGACTAGGGCAGGTTGTCGATATAGACGCGGTGGAAGAAGACGCGAGAGATTTTATCTCGATGCGTCCCAATTACGAACAAATTAGCGAGAACAGAGAGAAGATGTTGGACTTGATGGTGAAGATATATACGTTCCATCGACTCACAAAAAAGTTGAACCAGCGATTCACGGAGAGAATAGAAAGGAGTATATCCAAGGCCACTGGAAACATGATCAAACATTCGGAGCAGTGAGGATGCACATGTTTCTAAGTATATTGTTTATTCTTCTAATTCTACAAATGTACAGGCGATAGGAGCATAATAAAGGTATAAATAACACTTAAATTAATTAAATATGCACAACACTACGCACACTACTAGATTATACGATGCTCGGCGTGTTTGCGGCGCGCTCGCATCAATGAGACAGCGATGAGATACAATAAATACAAAATAATTTACCGATATTTCTACAACATTAATCTTTATGTCTGTGGAATACGTCTACTTTCCGCGGAGAAGACTGCCTACCCTTCTTTCCGCCATTTCTGGCGCGTCAACGAGATTCGAGATATCGATTCGATCGTATGCAGATATTTAAAATGTTAAGAGCGACTCGTACGATCACGTTCTATGGTACATAAATGTTCAATGCTTCAAATAATCTACAATTGTACGGAATAACCAATAGAGCTGTCATCTGTGCAGATGAAAGCTCTTCCTCCTCGCTGCTTTCCTCTCCTTCTGCGCGAGATATTCCTTTCTCGACTGGCTGCTGTGCAGTTCCAGGATGTGGTTGATTTTCCGCACGATTTCCTCGGCCGTCACCGAGTCCGCCTCAAAATCGTGATTCTTGAAAGATGCTGATTGGTGAAGCGAATGACTTTGGCCTGTAACACAATCGGTGATAGTAAAATATCGTTTATGAAACATCAAGAACCAGTTTCACAAACATCGGTTAACCAGGGTTCAGTCGACTCCCCTATCTTTTTCGATCTTATTATTTAAGACAAAGAATCAATTAACCTGCGGTTAGCAGTTAACTGATGTTGTGAAACTGGCCCGAAGGGGATGCTGGAGTGATTCTGCACTTTTGGCACCTCTTGCTCCTAGAACTGTCAATTCGTGAAAACATTTGTCTAAAGTCCGCTGCAGACGATGCTTTTTTTGTCTGCTAGATTACTAGCTGGCGCCTCTGCTGGCAATCTCACGGACTTCCATGCTAGAAATTGTGTAGTTCGCTTGTCACTCTGCTGGCAGATCTAGATTTCCCTGATAGATCAGGTGCTACTTTTGCATGCTCATTGTGAGAACCAATCAGAATGTGGCTTTAGGTAACGTGATCAAAGTAGACTATGTTTCCACCGAGGGTCAGAGTCGGGTCAGAATCGGGTTGGGGTGAACGCTCTTGCGGTGGAAACACCAAACCCCAATCCAATTCTGACCCGACTCTGACCCTCGGTGGAAACGTAGTCACATTTTCTTTGCACGAGGGTTACAGTACTTGAGCTTCAAGCAGAGCTGTCACGCGAAAACCAGCACCGTTTGAAGTCAAGTCAGTAACACAGTCAGCAGTACTGCTATCATCGCTGCCCACAATACAGTGAGCATGCAAATCCAGCTAATAATCAGGCAAAAAAGCATCGTCTGCAGCGGGCTTAATATACAAATTATGTGGCTTTTGTGTACGAACCGACAGTGTTCCACTATTCAGATTAAGTCAAAGAAGCATGGTATCATTGAAATTAAGTTTAGAAGCTTAACAAGAAGTCTATTCACTCGAATAAGTTGTAGGTTACCTAATCTTCTTTTTTGTATATTAGACAAATATTTTCACGAATTGACAGTTCTAGGAGCGAAAGGTGCCAAAAGTGTAGAATCACTCAAGCATCCCCTGAATCTTCAGCGTAAAACTTTATTTGAAAATCGCAAAAAATAACGAATTAATAAATAAGTTAATAAATCGTGGAGCAACGTGTATAAAGAAAGTAACTAACTGAGAAAATTATCTGAAGCGTTGGATTGCGGGGTATAAACCAGTGTAAACACAGTTTTCGATCCCTTAGTCTCCGTCACTTCGCACCAGGCGATGTTGTCTATGTGATAACTGACTGCTCGCTGTCTGTTCCAAAATCTAGCAGCGCCTTTGCCAGTTATTACTGGATCTATCTCTATCTTCTCGCCCGATATTCCGAGATGAATCTCGGTCTTTGCTCGCATCTTGTTAATTATATACACCCTGCAAATGGAAATACGTACGTTATGCAACCTCAACATTTATATTATTCTTTTGTTTTTACAATTTAAGCCAACGGCACACGATACTATTTTTCCTACTAGATTGCTTACGAGAGCCAATCGGGATACAGAGTTTTCGATCAGATGACTTAAGGCTAAATCCTGATTGGCTCTCGCAAGCAATCCAGTAGGAAAAATAGTACCGTGTGCCGTTGGCTTTAATTTTCAATGCTATGCTTTTGTTTTCAACAATATAATTGTTCATCACTTCCGTATTTTCGTGTAAATTACTAATTACTTGTTATTACAGTATAGCTTTATTCTAATTGAAATACTTTACAAAAGAACTTAATACAAAAGAACGTAATATCTAACATAAAGTATAGAACTACCTATACGACTGATACAACGGCGCCTCCATCGCGGTAGTGTGACCCTCCATCTTGGCCAGGTCATTCGCTACTTCCTCCTGCTCCTTGTTTTTAATCTCCGGGTCCTCTTCATTTTTCTTCTCGATGCAACTGATTGTGTTGTGTCGCGCTTTATCGCTCGGCTTCATCTCGATCAGGCCCAGCGTGGTGAACTCGAACTTGGAGATTGTTTCACACGGGTCCAGGCAAGGGAAGGCCGAGTCTATCTCACCGTCGTCCTCGGTGATGTACAGCCCATAATCTGAGACGTTCTCGCTGGAAATAACGGCCGACGGGGACCTCATGAATAAGACATACACGTTCTGGCAACGGGAATTAACTTGTTACAGACTTTAAATTATGATCGGGATGTTCACTTGCATATTTGTAGCAAATCAACCCGATGAAGTCCAACACCCGTGCTGTCACTGTCACCACCACCTGAAGCGGATACATCCGGTCCTCTTTCGGCAACATGCACATGAATATTCTGTATTTTCTTACAGGGATGCTCACCTGCGCCTGCAAACATTTTTCGAATATACAACGAATCCATAATTTTTTTTATGGAAGTCACAAAGCTATAAGATTAATTAATGCATAATCTTTACGTTTTGTTATCAGAAACCTTGTAATATATGTGATTTTTTAATTTTTGTAAATAGTAAGTCGCCAGTGATAAAAGAAATACAATCAAGAATTAAAACGACCTAGGCAGAGCAGTTTTCCTCTGGGCTGGTGTACGACTAGACATTTGTCTGTCGGCGTGCGGAGTGACGTAATCGATCTCTTTATTTCGATGGATATACATTTACTTTTTATGTACTACATGTTTCCTATCCTTTGCTCTAACAGTTGATCGGGGTAGCGTAAGATACACTTGAGAAGAAGGACCAGTATTACTAGCCGAAACGTCGTAATTTAATTTATTAAATAAGATTTACCAGCCTAGGTCGTTTTAACTCTTGATTGTATTTACATTATTTTTTATTTACTAAAACATCTTTTGAAAATGAGCTTATTTAAGGAAAGTGACAAATCAATATTACATACGTTGCCATCAAATTTGGCGTATTCCTTGAACGGATTCGGTGGTAAATTAGGACACTTTTCGAGCTGTTCCGACAAAAGAGATTGTCCCCTTTTCAGTGGCGTTTTCCTACGAAAATCTTTCCTCTGAAACAGATCTGACTGATCTGTCGGCGTCACGGCATTAGGATTGTGCTCCCACTTGACATGCTTGACTCTGGCAGCCTTTTTCCTTTCCATGTCCATTTTCTCCAGTCTTTGCGCAGTATTGGATCTCTGTCTGTGACTGCTGTGACTGAATTCCATGTCTAAAACAATGTTGCGGTCAGGAGAGCGCCATAACAAAGGATTTTAATTAAAAACAATCTGTACTCTCTGATCTAACTCTCTTTTCGATCAGAAGAAAATTTATACGCCGTCAAAATTATTTTGCGGGCGTTGATGTCAAACCGAATCAATTCCGACTCGAGTTTCGAATAACATATTGTGGATATTATTGTGTAAAATAATACAGAGCGAAAGTACATACCCATTTGTATATCGTACGATTCCCCCATTACGTCCAGATCCTCCTCGTCGCTCTCTTCCATACCAGGATAACATTGCAGAGTCCCGTTCTTCATCAGCTGCTTGGGAATATCCTCCCCCAGTATCACCATGTCACACATACCTAATCGACAATGACAAAAGGTATTAATTTAGCGTAAAATAATTACAATTCGAAATAAAATAATACAGAGCGTAGTGCCGTAAATTGGCACATTTAGCACGTACATTATTGAATTACACTGGCACGTGAACGATGAATTTCAATCCAATTTATCTCGCAGAGGCGCGTTATCGGGAATGCCTCATTGTCAGGACACTATCCTGACGGGTGCAACGCCCCGCGGATAATCCGTTGACGTTTCTAACCTAGATTGATCGTAAGTGCAAACCTGTGTCGTCCGTCGCGAGAAAGCTGTCCCTGATGTGCGACAGGAGCCAGTGTTGATTGTCGTAGAGAGCCATTCCTGTCCACCCTTTTTTTTTCCTCTTCACCGACCAGATGTCACCCGTTATATTCGTAAACACGATCGCGTCGCGATAAAACGCGCCGCCCTCGATGCGGCCCTCGACGCGGCTCTCGAGAAGACTTTTTCACACTCTTGAAAACGAACAATTGGATTTTGCACGCACGTTATCTAGTTATTTACGCAACAGTCGGTGAAACCTGACGTTCAAAAAGAAGACGTTCAAAACTGAAAACGTCATTTCGGAGCTGTGACCACGGTCTTACATACAGGTCCTTCGAGTCATATGGTGGAGGTAGGTCGAATTTTTAAGCCAAAAATCGTTTGTCTCTTGGCCACGAGAGTCGCTGCGGTAGTAGGAGTTAGGACAGAGACACAGATATAGAAATCACGGTTTCTATCTTTGATAGTCAAAGGTTTCTATATCTGTGTCTCTGTCTACTACCCTACCGCAGCGAATCTCGTAGCCAAGAGACAAACGATTTTTGGCTTGTAGATCGCGAACCGTTGATTCGTTCGAGTTTCGAGACCGAACCGAAAGATTCAGAGGTTACCAAGTGGCGCAGTAGAATAACAGCGAGTTTGGGTGCTTGCCTCGAAGAAAACCTCGCTACCGTGGCTAATCGTGGTTTGCTGAAAATATTTTGCTACCGTAACTGGGAATTTCTAGTGCACGGCGAACGGTTCGCACCTAATACAACGGGCACAGTAGCAAAATATTTAGCTGTCAGAACCAAATGTTGGCTATCCATAGTTTACAACTGACATTTAGTTGCCACGTGCTGTTTTTAGCCGCGGCAGCTCCAGTTTTCTTTCCGTGTGCACTGAGTGCACGCTGAGGCTTGTTTACAGTCAATTCTTATATTTAAGGATCGTCTTGAATATCTCTTGAAATATTCCTCGGCCAATGAAATAATCTGTACTGCATCCGTACGAAATATTTTTTCAACGTGTATTCAGACAAAGTTAAATGTAAGATATTAGCCGAATAGATAATGATATTGGCCAAACGAGCGGTGGATTATCAAATGACAATTGTGTGAAAAGAAAGCTTGAGAAGGATCCAAATCTGGGATCGAAACGTTGCATGTTTTTAAAAAAAATAAAAAACACTGGCCTGTGTAGGTCGTTGAAGACTATATCATTTGTTAAATGTAAGAATTGATTATAACCAGGCCTCAGTGTGTAATCAGTGCGCACTAGTGCAAGGAACCGAATGCGCGATAAATGTCACAGCTTTAGGAGTGGACGTTGACGTAACGTTAATATAAATACGCGAAATGTATACGGGATTGATCTAGTCTAGCTGAATTCTGAATCAAGGAACCACTCGATAATACACTAATCTATCAATCTAGGGTGCGTCCCGTTTCACGCATGATATGCATGATGCACCATTTATCCTTCTTTAACATTTGGTAAGTAACAAGGATAAACGATGCATCATGCGCATTATGCGTGAAACGGAACGCACCTCTAATCTGTAAGCTCGACGGACTCTTTGGTGAAGTAGCCTTTCAACGTGATTCCGATTTGTTAAGGCCAGCGCACGTTTATTTATACGCGCTGAATCGTAAGGAAGTAATTGTAAGAGAGTTCCTTAATATTTATAACAAAACATCGCGTTTAACCACGCACTTTAACACCTATTCAGATTTTATGATGTTATAATGTTACTTATTTTATTATTTAGATTTTCTAGTAATTATAAAAACATTAAACGCGTAAAATTTAAACAGTATGCCTGGTACACGAATGTTTTAATAATCAGAATATTCCAGGATTTACGAAATTACTCTTACAATAAAAGATTATTAAGGAACAGCGTAGCGCATATGCGTTCCACAAGAGCTGCGAAAAATCGGCAGAGTTACGCGGGGAGCATGTAGAGGTAGGAAGTTGTCGATGGGCGACTGTGACCCACTGTGCTAAATCGCAAAATTCTCTCGAGAGCTTCGAAGAAGGTAACAGGAGCGCATATGGAGCAAAGAGGTCGACGGAGCTGCGCCGCGCTCCCTAGCGCCATCTCTCGGCGCGCCGTGGCAACCTCTAGCCAGCACGCCTGGCGCCATCTCTCGGCGCGCGCGCGACTCACTCCAGCTCTTGGTAGACCTCCTTGCTCAACGTGTTGCCCGCATAACTTCAACGATTTTTCGACGATCTCTGAAGATGCGAATTCTAACCTTGTTACTTTTCGTGGCTCCTGTCGTGTCATGCTACCCGGGTAACTTTGACGATATTCCGAAGCTGTCGGAGACACCTATTCCAATTCTCTCTATCTCTTATGTCGCAAGTATCATGTGAGAGAATCAAATAAATGCTCTCCTTAGATTACAACGCACAAATGTTAAATGTTAAAATTTTTTAAGGATACATTTCAAAATGTTTTCTTCTATAATGACTCCTGTTTACTAATTGTAAAACAAATAACATTAATATTAACAAATTTTCCTCGTTTAATTTAGATTTAATATTTAATTTAGAAAAATATTGTTTTAGAAGCTTACAGGTTTTAAATATCTATTGTATGCTGTTACTTCCGATTGGAATAAAATAAAAAGTAATTTTAATTATTTGTTAAAATGGCAGAATATTATTTGTTCGCGTATCAAAAATGTTAACAAAGATCTCGAAAATAGATTTATCCTCTAATGTTGTTAATTGAACGTTTTGGTAAACGAACAAAGAATATTTTTCATTATTTTAACAGAAAGCTTTTCGTCGGAAACACACATTTCAGACGCGTCTAATTGTTACATTCTGTTACAATTCGCGTGACTTATAGTAAGTAAACCAGGGTACGATGTCAATGTTGCTGCCGAATGATTATACTGTATCATTCCATGCGCACAAATCTTTAATTGGACCATAGTAATTCGCCTATAAATAGCAATAATTGATCACGTGTTGAACAATAAACTCTCGTTGCGTTCAAGGTTTCATGACGTTACATAAATTCGACAAACGAACGAGAGCGACAAAATGGCACGGCAGACAATTATATCAGCAATCAGGATGCATTTTTATTTATTTATTTATTTAGAAAAATGTTTTTTCTTTACGGGAACGCCGTCGACCTTTTGGTCACGTAGCGTATACTGGCATCTTGATGTTCCCAATTCTTATTATCTTCCCTGGGCTTTGTCTTCTCTTTAAGCTGCCTTTTTGGCTACTTGACCTCTGGGCCCTATTAATCGTCTCTTACGACACGGAAGGCTACTTATTCGTTGGCGGATCGACACGCCAAGGATGCATTTGATGACAGTGATTTTATGTCGGCGCGAATTCTCGATGACCGCTGGTGTTTCCGTTCCTTCGGCCAAAGATGTCATCTTTGCCGTTTCAATGTTAATAAGCGTGTTCATGAAGTGGCACGAGGACAAGTGTTGCTGTCGCGACGCGCGATTAAGTTAGGGCTAATCGCCGACGCACGTGCGCGTACGTACGCACACGAGGAGAGGGAAGGAGCGGATCGTCGCAACGAATAATTGTCGCCGATCGCGTGCCAAATTGTCCCCTCCCCGCCGAGGTAGGGGAGCGCACCTTCGAAGGGACGAGCGGGGTGCGGTAGATGTTGCTAAAATAAAAGCGAAACAAGACAAGGTCCAGGAGGAGTGGCGAGGCGAGCCCACGGCGCGCAGAAGGGCTGGACATTTTTTCGCAGTACGCGCGAGTGCGAAATCAGGAGCAGGTACCGCATCGCGCCCTCGGAGAATTTTCAGCTGCGTCCTCGGCGGGCAAGAGATACAGTGAACGATATAAAGTTTTCGCAGTGAGGCCGAGAAATATGCCTTTCGTCGTTTGTGCCTTTGCAGAAGTTGCCCGTGTAGTGAAATTTGTCAATTTTTCATTTCCATATCGTTTGTTTCGCGGACCCCGAGATATTTTTCATCTTTACGCCACTCATATTTTGTTATAAAGAAGAAATCGTGGTCTCTTCAAGACGCGTAAAAATGACGCGTTATAAATATTGCTTCACAAATCGTGATTATGCATCACCCTGATTGTTGATAGCAAGCGATATAATTAAAAGGGTATTTTGTATGTATAAACCTAGCGTGTGTTAGCCAAGACGTTTGAAAGCAACTCAATTGGAGATCGGTATGGCATTTAGTTTCGCCACAAATACCAATTGATACCTTAGCCAAACGGTTCGTTTGTGTCTTACGATGACCCGTTTCTTCACACGACGTACATACTCAATCGGCTAAGTAAATTGAAAGTTAAATTAACGTCCCAACTCTCGTGCTGTCAAAGAACAATGGAGAAATAAATAGATTTACTTAAAAACAAAAAAAAACGGAACGGATATTACAAAGAAACATATTAACGAAAGATTTTTTCACTGTAATTTATCAAGCCAATTTCCTTGGGATAACAGATTGATTTTATTCATTTATACATTACATTTAACTTTTTGCAGACTCAAAGTGAATATATAGCGAAATTACAATGTGGGAAGATGAGGCTGCACCATGGGATAGCGGGGAACCTGCACCGGCAGCGGGCGCCGAGGGTGCAGCGGAAGGTGCGCCTGCCGAGGGTGCGCCTGCCGTTGAGAGACCGGTCCTGAACTTACTGAAGCTCGAGCCACCGCATTACAACCATCACTGGGTTCGACCACTGTTTCTCAATTATGCGTATCTTTACGATTATAGGTAAGACGCGTGATTAATGCAAGTTAATATACATGAAATTAAAGTCGAATCTCGATTGGCCAGCAACAATCGTTTTTAATCTTGATTATCTCTCGATGTTCAATCTCGGAATGATCTTTTTGACCTAATAGGAAGAACTATTATAACGACGTGATCGACTATCTTGATTCGAGGCAGAAGGGTTTATTCCGCGAGCCGCCCAGGGCTCAGGAATGGGCAGAAAGGGCTTTAAGGACCTACGATGAAAAGAACGTGGATAAAAGCTTCAAGCGATCGGCCGACATGAAGTACATCACCAATTTGAGACTCAGCCAGACATCCAGACATTATAGCTACCATACTCGTGCCTACTATAGTTTGAAGTACCAGAAAATCCTGTGAATGTCTATTAAAAGACAATCAAAGGTAACTGATATGTCACATATCCGCTCACGTGTATGCAGTCTCTCACGTGTAGGATCTTTATTAAAATAATTTTTTTCGACGTAACGTCTTTCTAATCTAATTGTCTTCTATTATATCGTCTTTTTGCGACTTGACAATTTTTATTAGGTATTTTGTATAAGCTAGTGAGACAAATAGCATTGCAATTTACGTGTGTTTGATGATACTGATGCAATCGATAATGCAACGTCTGTCTATTGCAATTAAAATGATATATTGTATATTTGTATACTTCTTTGACATGTGTATCGTTAGAGATTGACACTGTAAAATATATCTTCGCTCCTAAATGAATCTTGTCAAATCGATCATTAATTGTCATACATATTTTCTTTCTTAATCATTATTTAATCATTTATTAGTAGTATTTTATTTTAGTTTTTATTTATAAAGATGTTTCTAGGGGAAGGATTTATTTAATTTTATTTACTTAATATTTATTATAAATACAAATAAACTATTTCTCTATTAAAGTACATAGTAGATAGGAACAATCTGCTTGCGAGAAATATTACTTTAAGAAATAAAAGAAGAGTATTTCGGGATCAACTGAATTCATTTGCGCAATTAACAATTATATTTCAGTGATTAGATAAGAACTTAATTATTAAAAATCTCTTTACGACTTTAGGTGCATCGTGATAATGTTAATAAAATACTAACAATAAGTATTCTAAACTATCAGAAAGTATATTAAGAACACATTTTTAACTGATTTGTAGAAGATCTCTTCTACGTAAAAGTACGAGTAGTTTGAAAAACGAGCAAAAATAAAGGATTATTTTCAGAAATTAATCTTCAAATGCAAATAAATAGTAAAAGCATTTTTTCATTCTATTTCCAACGACTTAGATTTTAATAGACAAAATTTTAATCTAAGCATTAATTACACAGGTCTAACGTTGTAGAATTGAAAGAAAATTCTCCAAATTTAAAAAATATCTTTGGCTAAAGTATTAATAGATTTTGCACACCGTTAACATCGGATAGAGAAGCATTTCTTAGAATGAGACGCTTTTCTTTCTCTTCATAAACCTCCGCTTTATCGGCTGCATCGCGAGAGTCTCCAACGGATTGCCGATCTCGCTGGTATCAATCAGCGAGTTGATCCTGCGTTGTCTTCCTGTCTGAGCAGTGGGCTGAGCGGCATCCGGCTCGTCGACCGGCATCTTGGGCCACTTTATCAGGAAGGTTTTGGGCCTCGGCTTTTCCAGCTCAACATTCGCGATCTTGCGCGTTCTGTCAAGTCTCTGTGCCAACGACATCGTCTGCTCGTCGTCTGCACCCTGGTTGTCGAACTTGGTCGCGTGTCGCTGAAACACGATGTCGGCAGCCTCCAGTGTGCTCTTAGCTTTTTCTATCTCGGCGTTCAGATCGATCACGTCGAAGACGCGATCCTGCAAGAAAGTAATTCCATTAGATATGACCAAAAAATAAAATACCTAGTCAAAAATTCGTAGAACAGATATGATTTCGTCAATTGTTCGGATTACGTGCATTTATGTTATAAATTAGTATGTTTATCGATAGTTTGTATTTTTTATTTAATCTGATTTGATTTTTAATTGTCGGCTCGTTCTTTCGTTTAATTCCACCTGCATATCTCGCCGCTTGCGTCTCAATTCCGCCAAATCCTCCTCGAAAGCGGCGGCCGCACGTTCCTTGAAACGTCGCTGAGTGATTACGAAATCGTTCTCGTAAGGATCCTCCTGAATGGGTCGACCACGTCCGTCGAGCAAAAAGTCCAGCTCGTCGTAGTAGTCGTCGCGATTTCCCGACAGGTTACGAGAACCTATAAAATGTTAGTGGGGTTCTTATAAAATTATTATTGCTAAAATATTAATACAGTATAATCCCATTTTCTGCTGTACAATGTAACTCAATACAATGTAACTCTTCGAGAAAGCAAACTTTTCACAATAATTACGATAATTAGAAATTATTCGTTACAGTTATTTATTGTAACAATTTTTTATGAAAACTGTTTTCAATAAATAATTAAAATAAATTTATTTCAACGTAAAAGTGTAGTTTTGCAAAAACTTTACTAATATAAAAATATTATACATTCGACATATAGAAATATTCGTCGGTTCTATTAACTTTATGAAATAGATTCTTACCTGCAAATTCTCAACGCAGCGGAATCTCGTGCATGCAGAAAATGGACAGGGGAAACATCAAGATACGTAAGAGATGTAGATAATAAAGAAATATGTAACAAATAAAAAGGGAAATATGGAGAGATATGTGGTGTATACACTTGTGTTACTCGACTAGCTCCCAGAAAAGAGTTTTCTCAAACAAGATTTATTCATAAATAAGAAAGAAGAAATATACATTTATAGTAAATTCGAAAGTTTCGCCGTGTGTTTAAGAGTCTGCGTTATAAAGTTTCTCAATTTTTCTGAATGACAAAGAATAATTTTCTAAAAGGGGCTGAAACGTTTCGAGATGAATTTGACAAAATGCGGCATTGCATCTCTCTATATTGTCGCGTGGTAACAAGTTTTGCACGAGAATGATTTAAATATTAAAACGTAACATATTTGTTAGGAACAATTAACATTTAAGCTCTCTCGGCTCGCACTTGAGGAGCTGAGAAGCGAGAAATTATGCGAGAAATATTATCTGAAAATACGTTATATCTTGAGCAACACAGACTTTACATTCCCAGGTAGCCAAATCTGTTAGAACAGATTTCGTCAAATGCCCACTATTTATTTTGAAGGCAGAAAGACTGCAGAGTGCATACAGGAACTGATATAGTCAATATGTTGCCATCGTGTCAGCAGAAATACAACAAAATCTGCTCACATAACTCGACTTGTTCGGTTTCTGCCGACAATCAGTTGACAGCGTACGTTTTACAGACTCTGTCCCAAAACAAAAAGCCAAATGTGGACACAGATGGCTGTGGTTTTGGTGTGGGTTTCTGAAGAATCTGATGCCAATCTGCCAACATTTTACTGGCTGGGTTGTTAATTAAACGATTTAGCAAATTTTAGGACATCAATTTACTAGAAAATAATCTAAATATAAATAGAATTTCTAAAATTGACTTTTAATCGGAATCAGCTTGTGTAAAACAGAAATCTCACCTAATCTAATTCGCAATTGACAAAACTCATGTCGAATTTAGATCGTATTATTGTACCTGTTATAGTTTTCATGCTAAAAATTAGGGATTAAACGTATTTTCGAGAAAAACGTCTCGCATTAACATATTAATACATTTATAATAACAGGATTACGCGCAACAAATGTACGCGAATAGGTATTAACATCGTGAGCGTAAGCGTCGATATTGAATATTATCGGTAAAATTTATTAACAATTTGTTATTAATAAAATTTACCGGTAATTCATTGTCCACAACGCACTATAAAAGTCAATAGAATCGTCGTGCATTCGTCTCGCGAACAGATCAACGACGATATAATATCAATAGAATTATGCGACCGCCGTAAAAATGGCGATTGCCGAGTAACGGCGTATACATCGAAAATATTCTAAATTCTTATTCAAATACAATAGTGCCTTACAGCGATTTACAATCACTATATTACAGTGTAATCAAGAAAAACGGATAGCCAAAAGTAAAAATTAAATAAGAATTATTATAATATTGACTTTTTCTGATAATCAAATAATTTACTAGAAATATTAAAAGGATTTAATTTATAATTATATTGCCCTTATAATGAGCTGGTTAATGTAGCGATTTTGTTTGACTTAATTATTTCAAAGAAATGACAGAATTTAAGCGGTATATAAAATAAACAACTTAAATGTCTTAATAATACTTTTTAAGACAAAAGCGACACATTTAATTACTAGAAGTTTCTCCTGCTGTGAATTACAAAGATTCACGATCTTTCTAATTAAAAATAAAAATATGTCGAATTAAAATTGAATCTTTCTCGAAGTGTTCAGTATGTTTAACGGCTGTAAGACACCGTTGTGAGAATTAAAGTATTGGATCGTAAGATTCTCTAGAAGCTGACGTGCTTCTCCGCGCGTTCGGCGATGCGCACTTTCTTGCTGATAGCAGACTGTAATTGAACGACGTCGGCATCGGACGCGGCGGCAGTCTCGTTGACCAGAGCTCTGAGGGCTGCTGCCCTACGTTCCCTTTTGGCCTGTTTCTCGGCAAGCTCCTCCATCTCCGACTCGAGGTCCTGGAGGCGCGCTTTCGACTGCAGTGCCCGGCTGGCGGCAGCGCTGGTCTGCGCTAAGTCGTCGTCCTCGTTGAGAAGTTTGGACCACCTGGCGAACGCCGGCTGCTTGTTCTGCGCTAAGTCGTCAGCGCGCTCCATCTCGTCGAAGACTCTCGAGCGCCTCTTGAAGCTGCTGTCGACATCTTCGATCGCCGTTCTGGCGCTCTTCCTGGCGGTCACCGCGTTCTCCAAGAGATCGGCGTTCCTTCTGGACTGGCCCGCGACGTTCGCGGTTTCAAACTCGTCCTCGAGACCCATCGCCGCCACCCGAGCGCGAAAACGGCGTGTCGTCGCTGATACTTCGTCCGCAAACTCGTCGCCCAGCCTGCGACGCGCCGGTATACGTTGCCCACGGCTGTCGTAGACGGTGTCCTCGTCGTCGAAAGCTAGCTGAGGGTCGGTGAAGGGCGGTGGTTGGGAGGCGCGGATACGAGGGTCGAGGTCGAGGTCAAGGTCACGACCGAGGGAGCCAGTGCGGGGACCGGAGAGGTCGCGCGTGCCTGCAAAAACCGATATCAGAAAAGAGCGTTGATTTGTGCGAATAAGGATAGGAGACGACGATGACGATAGGCATGTCGTCGAGAAACGGCGCCGATCGAACAATTTTGCAACAATTTTGGGTGATAGGACGCTGATGAGAGATGGCAGTGGATGGATCAATTGATAAGAAAAAAAAACATGATGGAGAATCTCACGAGCTCGCAATTTAATTAATTAAGCAATTAAATTATTTTAAAATACTTGATCGACGTTTCACTGTCGCTAATATTAATATTATATGTATATTATACAAATTCGCAAAATACGTCGAGAAAAATGATCAAATTTGAATTATTTTAGCTTTATTTTAATTGTAAATTATAACCAGTGATGTTAAGGGAGAATTCAGAGAAAACAATATTTCGTTTAAGACGTCTTTATTTAAAATATCGTGTTTCACATTATGCGCTCATAGATATCATGGTATAAATCATTTGAATGTAATCTTAAGAAAAATTAAGGGTTCCACTTTCGACACTGGTTATAATTTAATCTATAAATTCCTAACAAAAATATAAATTAACGTTACAACAGCAGTATACAATTATGAAAGTCTACAAAATTGCACATTATCATAAATTATAATCGTTCAGATTTGTAATTATCGGAATCATTTCTTTAAATATGCAAAAATATTGAGGAAAAAATAGAAATTCTGCTACAGATTATGAATAGTGCATTAATTACGTCTATTTAACATATTTTATAAAATAATATTATCTACTTAATCTAAAATCAAAATTATGCCAAGTAAAATAAAGATTACCATTTTAAGAAACCACGATCGGTCTCGTCGGTTACATTTCGCGCTTCTCTACTTACAACGACTCGACATCGGCCGAGCAAACTTTACACCGCGGGTTGCACATATTTTTAGTGTCGTTTGATCAAAAATAAATTCGGATGCGCATCACATTAACAGCCTGGCACGTCTACAAAAACCTAGCCGGTGCGTTCGACTACGCTAACAAACTAGCAGTCGCACCCAACGTCAAGCGCAACATTCGCCCTCTCATCCTCCGCGTTTCGCACCAAGAACACATACAGGATGTCCCAGATAAATATGCAGCAGAAACCGGTAAGAGAAAAGGAGAATAAAAGAGATACATTCTTAACGACAGAACTCCAAAGATTACGACAATCGCGAAACAATTTTCGCTACAGGAAACAATTAATGGCAAATCAGAAGAAGAAATAAAGTAAAATTTTCTCGGACAGCGACACGCCGGTGTATTCGCTCCTGGGATACCCTGCACGCTCAGACGCTCTACTTATTTTATTTCTTGTCCTCGTCGCGGTCAACGATTTATCGATGCGATGTATTTTCATCTTTCGACTTTCTCTGTTCTTCTATTTCTATGCGGCCACGTAAATCTGTTCGTCTTCAACCGGGTGATCACTGTCAGCTTTATTGCGGGCGCGTTATTCAAGAGGACACGCAACACCTTTCATAAATCACCTCGCCGTGTCATCTGTGTCGATGTGAGGCGCGTGAGTGTGCATGCGTGTGGATAATCCGGGAATCAACGAAAGCAAAGTTTCTTTCGCGCGACGTGTCGAGGCCGGACAAAATGAGAAGCCCCCTCGAGAAGCTGGCGTGTTGCGATCTGTCGATCCTCGTCGATGATCGTCGCAGCAAGCACAACATACGTACGTCACACCAAGGCAAAGTCCCCGCGCAAAGTCAACGTGTACTTAGGAAACGTTTATTCAGCAAGATGATGATACATCAAATAGGAGAGACATAATTCAGAGACTAACTACACAGACGGCAGGCAAAACAGTAAAAGATCGATGCACGCAAGGATGACATCAAACTTCGATCGAACCGTTAGAATGTGAGGGCCTCATTCTCGCTGCGTACCAGGACCGCGAGCTTTAACTTTAGCAAAATCAAGAGGCCGACAAGACGGCTGACTATTCAGTTGGTTGAATCTCTTGCTGCGTTTCTCTTCCTCGCACAATTTTTCTAAATCTAAGTTTATAAAGTTTCGTCACGCAAGTGTGGATTAATTCTCGAATGATGCTCGGTTCAATTTATTACCGGACATTGCTGAATAATAACTATAGTATATACGTTACATGTTAAATCTTTGGGAGAATCCTAGTCTAAATATTTTACTGCGGTTACTATATTTCTCTGCGTATGCATACGTTTGGTATCACTTCTCCGTTAACATAAATAAATATTTAACAAATCCTGGGACAACGATTTTCCCGTTCACATCCTAATCTCGAGCTCCGCATCGCGGTCCCCCTCGTCACGTAATCGATCGAGGATCGCGATGCCGAATCGAACAAACACTTAACAATGCCTCGCTTCGAGGCAGATATCATGCGAGTCGTGGGAGTTGCATCAAAGGGATGAGGATCGGGATGAGGGGGAGAGGGGAAGGGGGACAAGAGTTTCTCTCAAGTATTTTTCATTTGCACAACGAATCTATTCAGCCCCGTCGACAATCTCTCGAGGAGGGTCTGGGAAGTCTTTTTACAACACTCCTTCAAAACCACTTTGGAAAACGACTGAACAGGTTACCGCTGTCGCTACGGCGCGCCGCGATCTCGTCGGCTAGTGAGTTTCTCGGTTCCGGGAACAACGGCCGCCCACTGTACTTCCGGTCTAGGTGGTCGACCATGGGCTTGTAATAGGACTCGCCCTTGTCGTAGTTGCTGCCGTAGATGAACGTGCGCGGCCTGCTAAGGATTGGCCTCGACATCTCGAGATTCGGCTGCCTCTCCCTGTTATCTGCAAATCAAACACATTCTGCACTCTGCGATCTTCCGCGAGGATCAGGAGATTGACATTTTCTTTCGGAGAAATGCGACGCACTTTCAAAACGATTGGGATTTTGCTCGATAAAAGGAACTCTCTGATGGTATTAAATAAATTTCCAAATTAACAGTACAGATTTATAAACTGCGTAAATTAAATCGTAATAAAGGAGGATAAACGGATACCCTAAGTTCTAATCTTAACGCTAAAACTAATTAATGATTAAATATATGGACGTATATTATGTATTTCTGAAAAAGAAAATGAAGAGGGAAAGGAAGCTAATTAATTTAATCATTTACATATGTCATTTAGATTATTGGGATTATAGGGTCATTTATAGACGTCATACTGTTCATCAGTTTGACGTAAATTCTGACGAAGATATGCGAAAAAAAACGTTTGATAGACGACATTGTGCTACCTGGGATATTGCAATCTAATATAGGAAAATGCATCATTATAAATTTAAATAATTAAAAAATTACAAACCAGTCGTTCAACTGCTGTGATAGGCCCAGTATTAAAATAATTATGAGGATTAGGAAGTAATGAAGTTACGGTTACAGTTACTTTTTCTTGGTAACTCTAATTTAACTTCGTTACTTTCTCTCCGTCTGTAACTGTAACTTAACTCAGTTACATTAATAGTTACTTTATACATATTTTAAACCTTTACAAATCGTATTAGGGCTTGCATTTGCGCATAAACGCTTTATCGACGCCTTAGAATTCAAATGCAGATTTCATATTTTTATTTTCGCTGCAAGAAAGTAACTGCAAAGTAACGATTCATTACTTTGTGAGTAGCTGTAACGCGTTACTTTTCAGAAATGGTAACTTGTAAGTGTAACTGATTACATTTTCAGCGAAAAAACTGCAACTAGATATTTTTATAAAGTAACTTTCCCAACTCTGTCATCAATTATTAGCAATGTTAAATGAAATAGGTATTGGTATTGTGATTCGTACAACGAGGGACTCTAATTCGGATATATGAGCGAACGTTTCGGTTATGTGCCACCCACGTGGGGAGCTAATAATGCTGAAAATTATTTCGCCAAACACGCGCGTGCGACACGTGGTGTTCCCCGACCTCGCTCCGTCCTCCACGTGGCTTCCAAGCGACGCGCTATGTCGCGCTAAGTAATAGAAGTCCGGTGGATTCTCTTTCCCTCTCTCTCTCTCTCTCTCTCTCTCTCTCTCTCTCTCTCTTTCTCAGTGGCGATTTTGTTCATCATCGTCGGCAAACTGGAGCGAGCGGCTGTACGTCGGTCAAAAATAACCCGCGTCTAATTTGGTGCCCGTGAACTGAACTGGCACGGCGCGTACGAGGCCCGGGCCGCAATCTCCGTGAACACGAGGCGTGAATCCCCGCGCGCGCGAACGCCCGCTCTCCCTTTCTTCAGGGCCGATTTCTACATCTGTGTACGCGCTCGGGACCGCAAACTCGCGTTTAGGTATCGCGTTTTCGGCCCCTGAAAGAAGATAGGCCACTCAAAGTGGCGCACAACTGCTCGCGATGGAATCAATTGATTCTCTCACTCGTCAATTTCTTTTGGCGTATGCCGTTCATTTATGAGTTAAACAATTGTTTCTTGTACTAATACGTGTTTAAGATGTATTTGCAGATGAAGCCGTGTTGTTAAAATAGTTGTCACCTTTTTTTATTAGAACTTCTTCGCTGATTTTTATATTTATAAGTGACGTAAATGGCAAACTAGCACGCAATAGCTTAAAATTGATTTAAAAACATTACATTTTTATCCAATTTAAATTGATTGTGTGAGGTATTATTCATGCAAGTTACTCGCCAATACGTTCGCAGAAATGATAGTCGCAACGTCGACGTTTATTGGGTAATAATTCAAATCTCCTTCTTGTCGCTTTCAATAACGTCGTTGTGTCGCAAAGATATCCTCAGCCTCGGATTGAAGATTAATGTCCGTCGACCCACCTACGTCTTTTGTTTCGAAATTATTTTTAAATCAAGAGACTGCGACCGAGACAAGAGATAAGTAGTACGTTACCGCGCGATAATTATACTTAATTTTACTAGTAAAATATATGGTAAAATTTCAAAAAACTCTCATAAAATTCTCCGAGACGCCATGTCGTCCCACGTTTACATGATTTTCCGGATAAATTTTAAGAGAAAATTCTCTCCGTGTAGTTCCGAGAAATTATGCAACGATATTTAATAGCAGAGTTAATTACAGCTAAAGATTGATTTGCAGATTTTCAAGGAAATTGAAAATTTAATTTTATAAAGGCATAATGAAGCTAAAGCTAGAAAAAGTTGTAAGCTGATCGACTTCACTTCCTTCGATGTTTAACACAACTTTTAAAAACCAAAATTATTATATCTTGAGTTCCGAATTCTGACATTTCGCGACGATTTCCCATGTTTCGCTTCAACATCCGCATCATGACACGACGAGAGCGATGGTGGTGCAACGCGTCAAGCGATGATGGAATTGTTTTGACAGTTAGTCCTTCTTGGAAAGACCAATTCTTAGACCGACGATTCGCTCGTCTATTACACGGACAACAAACGATGCGTTTTTCTTGGCCCGACCATGGATCATCGACACAAATATATTTAATGATAAAAGTTGTGCGAAATAAGCGGTCGCGCTGAAATTGCGCGCGACGCGTTGGAAATAAATTCACAGCTCGGAATAAACAGGGGCGAAATGACGTTTAGTACATCCTCTCGGCGGGATATGCGTTCTCGTCAAATCGCATATGTGCCAAAACGCGACAAACGATAGCTGGCTTCTTTCAATTAGATTGTCCGTTCGACTTAATTGGCCAGTACGTGTCTGGCGCGCATCCGTTTGAAAAGTAGCTATGATTTAGAGCGAATCGGTTCATTACCCAATCCTTCGCTGACGCATTCTTCGCACCTTACTATGCGCGATGTATAACCGCTGCTTTCGTACGTTTCAATTCATTCAAAAAGGACGCGTAAACGACGTATGCAAAAAGCGTCCCTTACGTGTCCAAATTGAATCAATATTATATTAAATTTATTTTATTCTATTTTATTTTACTTATCTTATTCTACGCGTTGAACATGGAAATATATACCTATCATTAATAATAATATTACTTATATGAAAATCCTCTTCCGGTGTCTACATCGATATTGAGTCAATAATGATTTTGACATCAGGACTTGGAATTGTCTTGTATATTATTAATTGTGTCAGTTTGATAATTTAATAAATAATATAAAACCCAGGTATTAGAATATTTAGACATTCATAATATATCTATTTCTTTTATCACAACAAGATCCTTTATTTTAAGATTTTATCACAATTTTTCGTTTAGATTTATTAAAAAATTAATAGCAGACAGTTTAAAATAAAAAATTGTAACGATAAAAGGAAATGCATATTAATTGAATACATTTCTATAGGAAAAATCAAGTAAAGAGGTTTACATCGACAGTGAATCAGCGACAAGTTAGACGCACGCGTGCCACACACAAATGCGGTAATAAGTTACGATGGATATAATGTCAACTGTTTTAGATTCTGACTCAGCAGATCCCCGCTAGATCCACGTTTCAAATTATTTAACGAATTCCGTTGGAACGGTCGACTTAAATAAATCGTGCAATTGCGTCGCGCTCTCATGTCAATTCGCGCGGAGTATCGGATGTCCGTGTGTATATCGAGATTCTCTGCCAGCAAACGAACATTTAGCACATGAATGAAAATTTAACGGTCTCGTAAAGAATCCCTTAATAGAATGCCTTCTCCACGGGCGATGCATCAGTCATTATTTCGTGGCGATGTAAACTTTTCTTTTACGAAGGCACAATTTTAGAGCACCCTCTAATTTTCCTTTAATCGTATTATCGATGTGTATACTCACTTTTATAATATTGAAATATTTTCCTGAAGTAATGGACCAATTAATTATACAATACAACATTGCCTCTCGCATCGTCGAAATGCAGAAGGCAACGACATTAACATAAATATATGAACGCTCATGAACATTTATTTACGCCTTATTTGCGTAAAGTAACAAACGAACGTTTGATTCCAAAATGACAGTAATATTAAACGAACGTGTTAGTGTGAAACGTACCCTTGGGAATATATACCTTAGAATTTTACTTAAAAGAAATAAGAAATATGAAATGTAAATTTCGACACTTTAAACTTTTATTTAGGGTAAACTTAAGACCTACTTTAATAATTGAAAAGAAAACTTTAAGAATTGTGAAGAGTATGTGGTATAATTTATAATACCGCGTGCGGATTTCTTCTTACGAGAAAGTGCTATGCCGCGCGGCGTCTAGCGGGAACTTGGACAGGCTTGGCTATCTAAAAATTACTTTAAGCGTCCAAAATTACTATAAAATTTCTTAAGTAAATTGTTAATTTCTTTAAGTAAGCTCTTAGACTTGAAAGATTACTTTTAAAAACTTTAATTTCATTTAAAGCAAATTTTCCCAAGGGTATAATCTCATATCAAACGAAGGATTTGGTCTAGCCGATTTCGCGACCTGCCACTTGCGACTGGACATGTTATTGTCGTTGATTTTTCGCTCGGAATAAACGTAGATTCGTGTAAATTTACGCGTTCTACGCGAGGGAGCTCGCGATAATACGAAATTGAATGTTTAGCCAGTGAAAACGGCGCTCGCGTTCGTTCTCTATCGTTGCGTAAGGCCGCCAAATTTAGCTGGTGGACGGCACTTAAAAACGGCGATATCGATTACAAAATAATCCCGGCCGCGCACAATCGACACCACAGTTTCACCACACAACGCGTAATAATGCAGTTAATTACGAATGCAATGTTAATTTTTTGTTTAACCTTCAATTTTTTAATCTTACATCACTGGCATTAATACGTGTTTCGGATTAATACGATGTCAAGTGGATTGAATAATTTCGATTAATAGGATTAATTACACTTTCCATTACATCACGAACATTATCCATACACTGAAAGAACAACGGGTCGCGAATGCGCGGGTAGATTAGAGTTAGCGAGCGTCCCATTCGCATAATATTGCATTTTACATTAATAATCGTTCAATTTTGTTATCACTTGCGGAATTAGAAATTCGTTGGTTGTTCAATTGTCAAACGATCAACAAATCATGCGTAAATAAGTTTCCACAGCGATGTATTAACGTTAATATCCATTGCCTTACTTATAGGATACCGAACTCTTTAAAAGTTAATTAGTGAATTATCACAGAAAATAGTCAATAGTCACTGATTTAAAGTTATAAGTATACCACTGCGATTTTCAGTGATAATTCCACTGATTGACTTTTAGAGAGAACAGATGACGCGACGGACAAATTGCGTTGATTAATAATTAATTTGCACGCTCCTTTGTAAAAATATTTTTATCATTAGAAATTAGTATCATAAAAAATTGATAATAATATTAAATAAAAATAAAAATATCGCTCAAGAAATGTGCGTTTATAAAAACGTATGTTCACGCTGCTACCAAATAAAAATTAATATCAAACGGTGGAGCAGTCATTTTATTGCAAAACGAAACGTATCTCAATGTTTAGAAGATGGATAATGTTAATGATAATTAAAAGTAGTATAATTAATTTGATTACATTCGCGTGAGTGTCATACGTAGAGGCACTGTTAGAGAAGAGCGCGTTTAGCATATATGTAGACGTGAGTAAATAAGTGCGATTTAATTGCGCGGGGCAATCGCATGATTACGATTTCGTAATCACGATTATAACAGACGACGTCTTTCAGCACTGCATTAACGATGCCAACATCGATTAGGAAATGGCGTACGATGTTAATTTCATTCACAATGCGAATGATATATCCCACCGTTGCGTCATGACTGAATGCGATAAAATATATGTATTAGTTAATTAGAGCACCTCGTTGTAACACTCTCCCCCCAGGGAGGATTCTTCAAACTCGACTCGAGGGTGTACAAGACATTTCACTGGGAATATCGAGCTTGCACATTTCCAAATTTATTTCAAAACACGAAAATATGACGTGAAAAAAATCCTTTGAAGAGATCGCGAGGCAATTTTTAAGACTTAAATTAATTTCATCTACGACAAATGCAAAACTTTTTCCATCCTCGCTTCTGAGGAACTTTGGTTCGATAAAACATCTCGCGCAAAAATCAAAATGATGATACATGTTAAAAAAATCGCCACGTATTCGCCGAGAATAACAATTATTATGAGATATTATAAGAATTGTTACAAGAAGATTCTTGTTTTCAGTGTAAAATACTACGACAGCGGTACGAAATTGACACAGAAATATATGAAAAATATCCAAGAATAGATGTTCGCGATGAGATCTATGCCCGCGCACTGTCGGCGATCTGCACACGTGTTGTAATCGATCGCGAACGATCTCCTTGTCGTGGAAAATGAGAACGCGGCGCGGAAATCAGGTCGCTCTTACCTAAAAACGATCGTTACGAGATGTTATCCCCCGGGATGCTGTTTCCTCGGAAGTAGCGACGTGACTCCCACGGTCGTCTCGACGCCCGAATTATTTCCCACTCTTCGCGTTCGCTCTATCCCTACTCATCTACCTCCCGGTGCTTCCACGGCGACCGTGCAGCACAGTGGTTCCAATTCCTTCGAAAGCAGGCCAAAATCTCGTTCTCCAATTGTCTTATGGTCGGGACAAGTTCCTGAAAATAGCAACGATAGAGAATAACTTGTACAGTAAAAGAAATATTACGACACATGCTCTTTTTTAACTATTATGCGAATTATTTTAATTATTACACGAATGTGATCATTTCTAAACGAAATTCCTTAAAAAATTGGTATAAATAATTTTGAAGCTTTATTAGAATACTTATGATCTTTCACTCTTGTGCAATATTGAATTTCTCATGGTAAAATCGATATATACCAAGTGCCGGATGCCCGTCGCCGGCATCCGTCGTCGGCATGGCAACTTCGTCGGGCCGAGACGGCACAACAAATTGAACAAATATGAATTGCGCCCAAGGTGGCCGCAATTGTCTGACGCTGATCGCAATTTTTTGCGCTACCCTCGCGAGTGCATTCCACGCGAACAATGATGTGCTTGAGTACCGGGGTCCAAGCGCGTGCAAACACGACGAGTACTTCGACGCCGCCTCCCTTTTGTGTTTGCGATGCAACGCCAGCCGAAATCTCGTGCCGGCCGCTGACCGTGGGTTCGCGAGTTCATGTTATTCGTTTGCCATTCGATTTGTCTCGCTCGTTCTGCATTCACGTGTGTTTTCCGCAGGCCTGCGATGTCAGTGCGACGAGTTCAGTGGGACGATCGGTTTCGAGAACGGCAACCCGCTTTGCGCCGCTTGCGGTACCAACATGACCGCGACCGCCGATGGAAAGGATTGCGTCCAGCGTCCGAATGCAACATGCAAATGCTCCTCGAACCAAATAAGACGTAATCCCAATTAATGTTGTTAGCTGTCAGTTTAATTCGCCCCGAGTTTATTTCAAAATTATGCAATAACTTTTTACAAAATGCTAAATTATTATATTTTCAGCTGTTTACTTATTAAATTTTATTAGCAAAAGAGCTTCGAATATTCTTTACAAAATACTACTATTCTCTGCAATTCCTTTTCCATTTAATTTCTAAAAACAAATTAAGACTGCGGTGCAATTTTACAGGAGAAAGATACTTTCTTTGCCCTTTTAAATGAAATGTATCATATAATGTTTTACCCTTGCTTGCAGTGGATAGAAATATAAATGGCGCACTGCTGGATGCTGTGCTCTGCGTAACGTGCATCCAGGGCACGTATCCTTCTTCCGATTGCTCCAAATGCCTGCCGTGCACCGGCCGCGAGTACAGCGGTCACGTGAATTGCGTGTGTCCGAGCGCGACGCATGTGAGACTACGAAATTATTGTCTGCACAAAGACGACGTCGCCGACTGGCCGGACATCAGAAGCACGTACCTGATCAAGTTCCACAGCGGGCACGTCGACAGTTATTACCTGAGAAGCGAACTGCAAGTCGCGGTGCATCTCTGTAAGGTATACGTTGCGCACAAAGATCTTGTGGACTTTCTGAAAAGCGCGGAAAGGAGAAATGGCAACGATTACAATGACTTATTAAAATGTAACAGTAATTGTAACTCATAAAACCTCTGTGCTTAACAACTGTTAGAGAAAAGACAGGATGGCGTGCGAGCATTTGTCGAACATATGTGCCCTGACTCTGTACAGCGACGGTATTGCTTGTATGCTTTTTATGCATACGCCCATGGCACCCGTGTGGTTGTTTTACAATAAACAAGATGCAGCGACGGTGGTGAACAACACGAGGATATCCGAGAGATACAGCCTCAGGAAAGGAGATAATGTATGGTATAGATGTCTGGAATCATTGTAAAAATTAGAGAATTATCACGAAATAATTATCTTTGAAACGCATAATTATAATTCACATTCTTAGTTTTTTTATTATTGTTTTAATTATATTAACTAGTTTTATTTATTTTATTATTTTTATTATCAATTAGTGAATTTAAAGTTTAACAAGTGGATAAATTTAAAATTCAAAACAAGAAGAAAATATAAATGTCGAACGTCTTCTTTAATTTGTTGTAACTCGGAGAATTCATATATAAAGATCTACATTTATATAACATTTCGTTTTCGTTTTGAATTCTAGATAAATATGCAAATAGTTTAAAATGCAATTGAAAACAAAAGAATACGTACATTTCTAGAATACTATCCTCGATTTCACGATCGCGAGATTCGCATTGAACGGCAAATTTCTGTCCATCGGCAGGCCGGCTTTGCCCTGTCAGTTTCTGAGAAACGTGAGGTTCGGTGTAAATTTCAGCAAAAAGTGTAAAATCACTGCCGCTGAATTGTTCAACGCACAAGTAGAATTACTGTCTCCTTATTTAACGTTTAGAGAGGACAATAAATCGTTTATACATGCTTTACCCGTGATTGTTAAGTCGCCAGATCAGGTAAGATTTCGATAACTATAACAAAAAAAATTATGCTAAATTTATACGATACATTTCTCTTTGTTCTGTAGAACATTAAGAAAATTTCGCATCAACAATTGGTGCGAAAGTTCTTTCTGGCCGACAATAAAAGTGGTTTCAAAGCGTTGCCAGCGTTTATGTACAGTGGATTTATGAGAGCGCCAGAGCTTTCCGTGCTTCGTTATATGAAATCTTTATTTATTTTGTAAGTCACTGGTAATCTCCGTTATAAATCCTCTTGCGAGTGATCGACACGATAATTCTATTTCCAGAGTAAACGTCCAGAACGGAAAAGACCACGGCAAAATCTTTGCGCCTATTCTGATCGTGGAGTACGACGAACTAACGAATCAAGATCTCCTCGACAACTCCGAAGTCACAATAAATTATAAAGTTGCATTTGTATTGAAGGATAACGATATAGACTACAATGTTCAGGTAAAAATCCGAACGACGGAATTTTCAATTTCTCTCAAATACTAAAAATATATATGTTTTTAGATAACAATCGGAGTATTTACGGGATTAGCATTGATATTCTCAAGTGTCAAGGCGTGGAGTTATTATAAACGTAATCACAACGGCAATCTTGGCGTAGCCGTCTTATTGTGGTTCCTGGTGTACGCTATGGGTGCGATTGGAAATGCGATTACGTTTGTGTGCATCAGTACGTGCATGTATCTGTTCGTCTTTTATAAAGGACAAACTGTACCATACATTCTTCTGCCCGATGAGGATAGCGAAGAAAACATCCGAACGTACATTATTGTAGCATTTAGCTTTAAAGTAAGTAAAGCAATGTGATGACGTTTTATCTGAAATTAACAGAGGCATGTTAACGATTCCAATGTGCTGCGTATAATAGTACTTGATAAAATTTGTAGCATCTTAAAATTGTTTCCTTCATTTAGGTTGCAGAAATGATAGGATTCATCTATCAGCATTGGAGCTTGAGCGTGTTTTTCATCGACTGGGAACAACCGAGGATGATACAGGATCAACCGAAGTATGATTCTCCACATACTTCTTTACGAAAATTATATTCCAACCGATTTCCGAAGGGTAAATCTGCGAGAGTCACTTCGGACGTCATCGCGTCCAAGCGAAGGAGATCGCACAAAACGAATAGGAACACAAGCCCCAGTGAACTGTCCAAGTCTTCCTCGATTGAAAAATACACGCCGGACTTCTCTTCCGTCTGTTCGATCGCGAGATCGCCTTTGCAGGAGGCAACCGAGCGCAGCTACACGCACGATTTTCCGATCAGCATTTGGAGAACTTATTTCATTGCGAACGAATGGTGCAAACTGCAAACTAGAAGAAGAATAAATATAGCATTGCAATCGATTTACACTCTGTGTATCTTACAGGCGAGTTGCGACATAAAAAAGAAATTTAATTTTATCCGCAGCAGAAGAAGTTCGAATAATCATCTTCGTATCTATTTAGATATTTAATTTGGAATCCTGGATGCTGGCGATACCGGAATCAACCGCGGATAGATCACCCGAAGCGGAGAACAATTTTACGTTGCAATGTGCGATCTGCACGTTTGTGTATATATTCGTATATCTCATACAATGGTTGCTCCGCTTAATGTTTTACGAGAGATACATTAGAAACAGGCTGCAGAAGTTTGTAGATTTATGCTCGATCGCAAACATCAGTGTGTTCATTTTGGCGCACAATTATTACGGCTTTTACATCCATGGAAGGTAATTTTTCAAGCGCACCCCGAGAGGTGAAAGATGTAATTAACAATGCTGCTCTTGACAGATCAGTACATGGATTTGCGGATACTGATCTTCCTACTCTGATAAACGACTTGAAAAAGGAAGAAGACAATTTGTGCGCGCACAGAGGCCTTGTACCCGGCACGACCGACCAGACTTTTATATTATCATTGACCCAATCATTCAAAACGTTGTACGACGAGCTGATGAGACAAAAGAACAATGTACGTATGAAATTGTTCATACAAAGCACCGTTAAAAATATTTCGTTTATCTTCATGTGCCTACAAAAAAAGGAAAACTTAAATGTTATTATTATTTCTGTAAAAAGGGTATTATGCATTTTGAAAGTAATTACTGTAATAATTTACACAGGGAGGCATAGGAATTTTAAAAGGAAATGACACACCTTCTAGAAATTGGAAACAGTTATTTGAAACTAAGTCGAAAGTTAAGCTCTTTCTGATGCAATTCCTGGATCATTGCTCGGAAAATGAAGATTATATAATCAAGGAGCAGCACATATTCGAGAAACTGTGGGACGTCTTTTTTGTAGATGCCAAAGACAAATCCGTCTTTTATATTGGTATTGTCACAAAATTGCAAAGATTCTTTTAGTGATCACATATTAGACCGATCGTCGTTTCAACGAGTCTAATTTTATTTTTGCAGACAACAATTATTCCTTCAACAAAGTGGTGCTTCACGGAAACGAATGGCTATTGGCGACGTTCGAGATCACCATATTCGTCTTCTTTTTGGCGCTGTATAACTCTTACATTTTCGCCCGTATAGCGACAGTTGGCATATCGCAATTATTCTTAACAATCATTCGATGTAACGTTATGAGAAATCTCTGCAACAAATCGTTACTGGACAAGAGATTTCTGATGTAACCGCAAAGATCAAACGTATAACAGTAGTCAATTAAACATCAAGATACATTAGTTGCTACTTTTGTAATTTATTTTCGTAGCTTATCTCTCTCTGGATACCTTTACAATCTACTATTTCCAACTTCCTTATGCCACGTTAATATCTAAAGCGAACATTAATGGTGATCATCTTCATGATGATGTCCATGACCAGAGTAATCAATCCCAAAGTATTTTTCGACGGCTATGGTTATCAGGAACGCTGGCACAGCAAATCGCCAGCCTCTGATTATGACTGAAAAGCCGCGCATAAACGATGACTCGCCGGGCTTCCTAACGGCCGTGTAGCGCCACACCTGATTTCTCAGCCATGGATCCCTTAGTCCCTTCTTGGCTAACTGCTCTTGAACGCGTTTCAGTTCCGGCACATCGTCCACTTTATAAATATCAGGACTGGGTATTGGGTACGGTGGACCCTTATGATGCTCATGACCTCCCATCTGCAAAGAATATAAATCACATTCATTACTTTCCGTTTCATTACATGTGCAGCTAAGAATAATTACTGGGTCTGTACTTTTTAACTAAACTGGCTGCACTAGTCGAGTTCATTTTTCTTCCCCCGCATTGGAAAGAGGAAGATAAACTCTGAACTAGTGCAGCCAGTTCAGCTGTAAATAACAGTCCTTATCTATCAATTAAGGGACGCCTGAGCACGACGGCTCTTGTAATGTTGTGTCTTAGGTCCTTGTCTTAAAGTAACGCACAATAACTGCCTTGCGTCTTAAGAGTACAAGACAGTCATTCTGCCCAGGTTTTAATAGTAATCGTGCTGAACATTGTAAAAATTCCAGCACTAACACGACACTTTTTATGATATTACCCTACTCAAGAATGGTACATTTTGTTTCTGATTACATGGTTTACGTGGTGGATAACAATTTTTGTAGCAATAAACTGTTCAATAATCACGTTTCATTTGTAATTACACGCATCAGTTACAGTAGAGGTTAGCCTCTGTGATCCTAGGAGTAAAACTATATCTAAACAGACCATTGATCTAACAATAAGATTAAAACTACGTCTACAGCGGAAAATGTTTCACGATGTTATTATCGAGAGATATTTCTTGCCACGTACACTGTAAGAGCGTAACTGTTTGTTAACTTAAGCTTATGTAATTTATCTCCTTTGGATGCCTCTGGGGCAACCAGGGATAACCGAACTGACTAAATCCCAGGACGGTAAACATTAGGGCGCTTCTACGCCATGTTCGATAAAACTAATTCCCACCGAGTCAACTTAAAGCAACTTAAGTCTCACTGAAGTTGTAAAGTAATAATTAATTATGTGTTTTTAAAATTAAAGTGTTTTACAGATACTACGGTAATACTGACGAAGAGTCTCTTCCTCGCCGTTTTCAATTTGCAGCTGTTCCGTAAAAGCTGCAAGTTGCTGGGCGACGCATTTCTCAGGGGACTAGAACTTGAATCAAGTTCTAGCATTAAGCCTTGTGTCCATGATCCAAGAACTGTGTCCAAGTTCTACTTCCGAGAAGTGTGTAGCCAATCAAGTTGCAGCTATTTCATAAAAGCTGCAAGTCGATTGGCTACACATTTCTCGAAACTAGAACTTGGACCAAGTTCTAGCATCGTGGATACAGGCCTTTAGCCGGGTTCAGCGGACACAACTGTTGAGTGAGCGCTCAGTATGATATATTGGTTAATATTTTTAGATCCATGCAGTCAATCATGTTAAGCAATCATTAAAATAATTTATACGTAGAGCAAGAGATTTTGAGACGAGGACAAAGAAATAAAGTAATTTTTCCGGCTGCATTTATTTGGATTATCCTCATACAGTCTCCTCAAATAATTCCCGCAATTCTCTCTCTGACCGGTATTCATAGTCAGATCTTATATTCAAGACCGTCTTAAGATCATCTCTAGATACTCCGCAACCAATCAAATGTTCCATACAGCATCTTTAGATAAATTCAAGACGGTCTTGAATATAAGATCCGACTATGAATACCGGCCTCTCTCTCTCTCTCTCTCACTACGAGCCTGCCATCGGCTAAAATGGTTGGAAAGCAGTATTTCGTGATTGGCTCACTGGTTACTGTGTGGTGCGCGCGCGCCGGATTGGAGCACCGGTGACCGGACACGTTGCGGATCCTCCACGAAGTACATCGAGGAAGAACGAGTAAACGGAAAAGAGCCGCGACCGGGATTTGATCTGATCGTTCCGGCGTGGATAACGGCGTGGGTAACGGCGTGGAAGGCAGTTTGGGCGTTTGTTGGCATGAAAGCTGTGTGAAAGCGATCGTCAAGAGCGTCGAGTATCGTAGCGATCATGTTGGTGCTGTTCGAGACGCCGGCGGGCTACGCGATATTCAAGGTAAGCCCGAGGTCTGCCGGAAGCGCCGACCCTCCTAACCTAAACGCTCTCGCGCGCACGTGTTGGCCTAGATAAATTTCCCCATCGTGGGTGCTTGGCTTTTTCGCGACAAGCTTGTATGACGAATGGCGTCGCGCGATTTAAATGACAATTCGCTTGCAGTTGATGGACGAGAGCAAACTCGCCAAGTCGGACAATCTTTACATAGACTTTGAGACCCCGGAGGCCGCCAGAAAATTGTAAGTTTTTCTTTCAAACGTCTCCTCGCTGATTGTACACGGCGTTCTCACGTACCTTCTACCTTGCAGAATTAAACTCAAGTACTTCCACAAGTTTGAGGACACCACTGAGGCGCTAGCCGCCACTACGGCGATTGTGGACGGCAAGCTGTCCAAGTCTTTGAAGAGAACGCTCAGAAACAGCTGCACTGAGGCCCACGAACAACTGGCGGTCGCCGATGCCAGGCTGGGCAGTGCAATCAAGGACAAGCTATCGCTATCCTGCGTAAGCAACACGGCGGTGCAAGAGTTGATGAGATGCATCAGAAGCCAGAGGGACGAACTGATCACTGAGGTGACCAAGAAGGAGATGACAGCCATGGCGTTGGGCCTGGCCCACAGTCTCTCCAGATACAAGCTCAAGTTCTCACCCGACAAGATCGACACCATGGTGATACAAGCAGTGTGCCTGCTGGATGATCTAGACAAGGAGCTCAACAATTACATTATGCGGGCGCGCGAATGGTACGGCTGGCATTTCCCCGAGCTGGGCAAGATCGTGACTGACAATCTTCAGTACATACAGACGATGAAGACAATTGGCCGGCGGGAGAACGCAGTCAGCTGCGACCTGTCGGACATACTGATAGAAGACGTCGAGGGGAGGGTGAAGGAGGCCGCGGAAACCTCGATGGGCTCGGAGATCTCCGAGTACGACGCCGAGCACATGCGATACCTGTGCGTCGAGATACTCGAGCTCCACCGGTACCGAGGCCAGCTGAGCGAATATCTGTCGACCAGAATGACGGCACTGGCGCCGAATCTGTCCATTCTCGTTGGCGACCTGATCGGCGCGCGTCTAATCGCCAAGGCCGGTTCGCTGACCAATCTCGCCAAACATCCGGCGTCCACTTTACAGATCCTCGGTGCGGAAAAGGCGCTGTTCCGTGCTCTTAAGTCGAAAAAGAACACGCCCAAGTATGGCTTGATCTACCACTCGCAGCTCGTCGGACAGTCCTCCAACAGGAATAAGGGCAAGATGTCTAGGATGCTGGCAGCGAAAGCTTCTCTGGCGACGAGGGTCGACGCATTGGGTGACTCATCGGGCAATTTGAACAGTAATGAACCACTACTTGGCGCAAAGCACAGAGCAACTTTGCAGGAGCGACTAAACCGACTTGAGGAAGGGAATATACGTCGGATAAGTGGTACCGCCAAAGCAAAGGCTAAATTCGAGAAATATCACAGCAAGAACGAATGCATGCAATATCCCGCGTCTGCAGACTCGACTCTGCAAACTCAGAAGAGGCCATTAATCGAGGAGATCATAAAGCAGGAGAATGAGGCTGAGGAGGAGGAAGTGAAAGTGGAAGTACCTAAAAAGAAGAAAAAGAAACATAGCACGAACCATGAGCAAACGGAAGAAGCTGCACAAGCGGAAATAGAATCGGCTGCTGCACCTGCCGAGCAAAAGAAGAAGAAGAAGAAGAAGAAGGACAAAGAAAGCGAGGAGGCAGTAACTGTTAAAGTGGAGGAACAAGCGACAGTATCTGTTAAAGTGGAGGATCCAGTCCCGAGCGAGAAGAAAAAGAAAAAGCATAATGTGGAATCCTATGTGGAACAAGGAGAATTTTCTGGTGCGCAAGCGGAATTGGTCACTCCAAAGAAAAAGAAGAAGCGCAGCATGGAAATCAAAACGGAAGATGTAGAGGAAGCTTCTCAAGAGGTGCAAATAAAACCGGAGTCTGGTGCTATACCGAAGAAAAAGAAGAAATACAGCGTGGAACCAGAAAATACGGAGGAGTTGAATGACTCGTTGAAAAGAAAAAAGAAACGCAGCATCGAAACTAAAACAGAAGACACGGGGGAATTTTCTGGTATGCAAGAAGCAGAAGTTGCGGAGCAAAAGAAGAAAAAGAAGAAGAAGAAGGATAAGGAAAGCGAGGAGATGCAGCAAATGACAGCATCTGTTGAAGAAGTAGAGGAACCAGTTTCGAGCGAGAAGAAAAAGAAAAAGAAGAAATCAAAGCAAGATTAAACTTGCATAGGCTACGCAAAGACGAATAGGATAAATATAAGTTTCCACATTAAGTTTTACGTATTATATAAATAAATATAGATAATAAGAATATTTTTAATTAAGTACGAGTAGGAAAGCTAGAGAAATCGGAGATTTGTTACGGAATATTTTTCATAGAACTTTGTTTTGCATCATAAATTAAGATCGCTGATACGCTGCGAATAAGATCTTTTAAACGAGATGATGGATTTTCCTAAGTATGATTTATGTAACATATTGTATAGTTTTCAGAAATACATTAATGCATAAATTTTTTTTCTTTATTCCTTAGAAAATTCAAAACTTCCCAAATACTAGTAAAACCATTCCAATTCCGAAGTTGGTAAATTAGCTTGTTCCATTTACAAATATGTAATTGCGGATTACTTGTATTGATTTTTATATAATATATTAAAGTGGTAAAATTATATTTTTATAACAGAATTATTTTATTTAACCCATAATAAGTGAATACATTTGAAAGTTTACTAAATATTTTTATTCTAACACTTATTCATTTGACTTGCGGGCAATTACATAATAGCCGAATCTTTGAAAGTATAATTACGTTTTGTATATGCATGTATATATTAACAATATAGACAATTTTTCGCGATTATGTTTCTCTAAAAAAAATATATAAACTAAAATTACATTGTATAAACGTGATCGTACATGTATATGAATTTGTAATTGTCATCAAATTAATGATAGATACAAAACTGACTTGTTAAATATCTTAGACGTATATATGTATCTCCTTTGTAAGAACGAGATATCTCACAATTATCATAATTAACAAGATTGTATTCGAATATCGGCGACTGACAAAAATTATTGTAAAAAGTGATAAAAAATCTGAAATGAAATCATTACACGCAATTTGGATAGAAAGCCGACTATATGATAGATATTAGCGTATAATTTGCCAAAAGTAATACCTCAAAATATATATTTCTATTATACACTCATATAAATATCTTCAATATTTTTTAAACCTCGATGCATGTGTGACAACAAATATTGCGTCTACAGTAGTACATCATAGATTTAAGGATCAAACTGTGAAAGTTAATTTAAAACTTTCGCACTTATACATAAAGATCTCCATAATGCGTATTCTCTAGAATTTATACATTTTTGCCCAAAACGTGTATATTTTCCAAAGAATACACTGATTACCACAAGATATTGTATTTATCAAATGTCCAAATAACTCACATACGTTAAGAACGTAAACGATATCGTTTCTATAAACACATTAAGAAAAATATTACACAATTATATTACACATTGTAAGAGAGAAACATTCATAAAGGCAATGTCTTCAGTATCGAGCCCAAAAGAATTTTCACTATTGACTAAATTTGACTAGTAGACTTTAACCTTTATACATCGTTTTTTAAAATACCATCTTTAATATATAAATAGAAGCCAGCAATTAGTTTCGGTACGTTTTAATGGCTTTATATAATTTTACTAGTTTCAATATCTCACATGTAATTTTGATAGTTTTCTTTTACATCTAACAGAACTGATATCGTTTACAATCATACGCGTATGCATTTTTTTTTTATTTCATTGTGGAAAACAAAATGTGTTTCCATTTAAATTTAATTACACGTTACGAATATTATCGAACGATGTTGCGTAGAAACTGCGAGGAAACACGTTTCTATTTGTAATTAGCTTATTGTAAGAAGCTCGGTCGTATCCTGGTGCATACAGAATGCAGTGCACATGTAGGACCGTAACGCTGTAATTTGCATTCCCTTTTTCTTTTACTTCCGGTGCGTCTTCCTGGTTAATTGCCGCGCGTGAATCGAGCAAAGCGTCATAGGCGTGTACGCATTTCGTTTAACGATATATAGCGATTGTATAAAAATATTTTATACATCATATTATACTAGAGCAATAACGTATGTTAAACGACAATCGTCGGTTATTCGCTTTCGGCGGACGATTCGTAAACGAAATATCCCTCGCTGAGAATTACATCTCGATTTTTTAATATGTATTTCAGTTTTATTTTAGTTTCTTACTTTTTATTATACACTCGTGCACTCAAACGTACGATATACGATATCGCGAAAAATAGATTGCGCATAAAATACGTTTGCGAACTACACGCGGATTTCCTCGATTGTACAATTTTCTCTCTCGTCAAACTCTTATTTCTCCAACATTACGTAAAGTATATTAATGCGATATATATATATGCATATTCTTTTTGTTATAATATAAATTAGTAGATTTGCTTGATAAGTTACGTTTTCAGTTTAAATCTGTACAATTTGCCGAGCGTAAACTATAAATTAGCATTAGTTGTACGATAACGCAACGGAAAAATTCCGTAGAAGCAAATCTGGACCTTTTCAACAGTGACTAATAAAGCACACTGAGGACAGCAGAACGATAGAAAGAATGTGAGATAGCTTTTATAGAATTCTCGCAGACTTTATTCTTATCTCTGTCAAGGTCTGATTAGTCTGCAGATTTTTAAGTGGGCAGTTCACAAAGTTAGGGAGATATAGCGATCAAATACATCCGTTAGATAAATGAGAACTGCAAATTTATGAAATGCATGATAGATCGTCGCTGTATAATTCCCGATCGAAGATCCAGCATGATACAAATCGCGTATACTCCAACATCGTCATAATGTACGATGCAAAGTAGAATAGAAAACGCAAGCGCGTTGCACAGAGTGTCCCAGAGCGACTTAATTTCAATTACAGATCCTGTGGCAAATCTGGAGTAGATTTCTCTCGGGGAAAATCTTGTTGGTTGCGACAGACTGCCCTGTTAAATGAAAGAACAATTTGAGTTCAAATAAAATAATCATACTTTAGACAACAAGAAGAAGGTATTACGGTTCGATTATCTCCAAATTCAAGACTGATCTTTTCATAATTTTGTTACCGATAATCGAGAAGAAAAATCTGCCTCAGATTCGCCGCTTTTTCGAGTTTGCGATCTCTGCGACACCCCGTACAAATATCCATAATTCTGTAGTGACATATAAAAATAAGTGTATATAAAGTGCATAAAAAATATAGAGTGTCTCGCAGCGACTGTCTCCGGGATGCGTAATCTTTCCTTCTCTCTTTCTCGCCAGATTACTCTCTACCGGAGAATAGCAACGAGTATTGCACACAAGTACTCAACGTATCGCAGACTTATCCTATACGAACACCACGTAATTCTTATCTCCTATACGAGTCTCTAAGAATGTTCCTCTAGTACCTCTAGCGCAGTTTTATATATATTTCATATGTGTATATATATATATGTTTCTATAAGTGTGTGTATGTGTGTATATATATATTGTATATATCGTCTCTTTTAGAATACTCTACGATATATTTTATGACGACAGATACGTATGTGTGTATATGTACAAAATACATATTAAAAGACATCTCGCGAGGCTTTGTCAGCACGAGCAGTAGAGTCCAGCCGCCGTTTATCGGATACTCGTGAACAGATTCAGCACAGACTTGTTCTCCTTCTGACTGCGGGCCTTGCTGAACACGTTCCAGAAGCGGAGAGTCTCGTCGCCCGCGCCAGTGACGATCGCCTCGCCGTCGGGCGACATGGCCAGGTAGAGGACCCGGTACGAGTGGCCGGTGAGCTTGGCGACCTGCGTGAGGCTCGGGTACTTCCACACGAGGATCTGATTCTGCGAGTAGCCGTGCGTGCTGACGAGCTCGGAGCTGTGCTTGCTCCACGCTAGGTTGCAGACTTGCGAGCCGGTGTCGACGCATTGCATCGGCTGGCCGGTGAGGGTGTTCCAGAAACGGATGCAACGGTCGGCGGTGCCGCCGCCGGACGCCAGCAGGCCGTGATGATGAGGCGACCAGGCGATCGCTTTGACCGCCGCGAGGTGCTCGGTGTAGGTCTGGATGGGCGAGAGGGAGTGCAGGTTCCACACGTAGAGCCGATTGTCATTGCCGCCGGACGCCAGGTACTGATTGTCCGGTGACCACTTGAGGCCGCACACCTCCTGTCGATGGGCACCGAGCCGCCGCTCGCCGACGACGCACGGCGTCCTCACGTCCCTTTGCAGTATCAACCGGTCCCTACTGCCGGACGAGAGAACCTCACCGTTCCACGCCAGGGCTCCCACCCGGGCGCTGTGGCCCTGCAACTTGCTCACCTGCTTGTTGACCGCCACGTCCCACACCTGTATGTAGCCCATGTGCGTGCCCACCGCCACCAGGTTGCCGCGCTCGTTCCACGCGACAGAGGTGACGCTGTTGCCGTCGCTCGACAGATCGCAGAGTCTGGTCACTTGGCTGGTGCACGCCGACCAGAGGTAGACGCAGCTGCCCAGGCCGACGCTGAGGACGTTCTGGGAGGACCAGTCGACCAGGTTCAGGTAGAAGTCGTCCTGCAGCTCCGGAGCGTCCAGCACCTTGAAGGGGATCCGCGAGATCTTCCTCGTCGCCTTTCTGGGCGACCTCAGCAGCTTCTGGCTCTTGGCGCTGAGCGGCGACAAGGAGTACGGCGAGCTCTGATCCAGCAGCGTTCGGTCCTTGGTGGGCGTGGTGTACTTGAAGAGGTTCTTGGTCACCAACGGCGAGAGCACCCGGCGCTCCTCGCACTGGCCCTTGACGTCCTCGATGCTGGCCCCGAGCAGTTCGTTCTTGAGCAGGCAGGAGTACGCGATGCCGTCGCGGCTACCCTCGCCGTTCTCCCGCGTCTTCTTCGCCACCAGGCCGCCCCGGCCGTTCTCGCTGATCATCGAGAACGTCGTCTGCCAGTTGTTGCCCGAGCGGGTGGGTATGAAGCGATCGTAGCTGTTGTTGCACGCCGACGTCTTCGTGGGTGAGAAGTAGATGGGCGAGTAGGCGGCGACGGCGACGGCGCCGGGCAGCGCAGTGCCCGTCGTCGTCGAGGCGTCGCCGCTCGCCACCGGCTTCAGCAGCCGTTTCTCGTACTCGTGGTGGAACATGTCGCGACCTGGCGCCAGGGATTAACGTCCCACCTCACCGACACACATAATTAACCGCGAACGCCTGCCGACCTCGCAACCCGAGCCGCTCCGCGATCGATCGTGGCCCTCGGTCACGCGTCACGAGCTCATCCCCCGGCCCCGGCGTTCGCCCGCGCCGCGCTACGTTCCCGAGTTTCTGCAACACCGCCTCGAGTCCGAGCTCCGTTCGTCCCGTTGCCTCGACAGACCTGCCAGTCGCCATTCGCCGTCAGGCTCGAGACCAGCGGGTTCGACAATCGACCGATCGCCCCGTCTTCCCACCAATGGAAACGCTCACTACGCCAGCGAAAACGCCGCTTTCGGACGGGGTGGGAAGGTCGATCCTATCGACCGTTTTGTCCCTTATTCATTACTTGGCGCAATCATTTTGGGGAAGGCATTCAAGCAAAATTATATTAAACACCGCGTATTTCCTTGCCCACTTTTCCTCTCACAGTTTTCAAACATTCGCAGTTACATTTTTATGACAAAGATCCTCGACGGACCCGCGAAAAATAAGAAACGAGATCGCGGTCGCGAATAACAACTTGACAATTAACGAATGAATAACGTTTATCTAATTGATGAATACAAAGAAAAGTCGTTCTTGAGAAAACACGTTTGCGTTCCGTTTAAAAGCTTAATCTATGGTCGGCAGATAAAAGTTATTTCATTGGAAAAAAGCGGACCTTCCCGTTGATAAGATAGACAGGAATTTCTGGACGGTTGGTCAAACCGGGTCAATTTTATCGTTATTTCTCCACTTTGGAGGATACGCACAATATTGCGCATGAATAATAGCGCGAGTCGGGGAGGGGCAGGAGAAAACTCCGCCAGAGGGTCGATCGCGAATTTTCCGAAGCGAGGAGCACGCGCGCGATTCGGTCGCGACTGCGATGCTCTGCCGTTTCTCTCGACACCGTTCGCTCCGGATGAGTCATCGGGACGGCGAGCGGCGGACGAGGGGGGGCTCGAACCTGCTCGACGCGCTGTCAAGAATCGTCAGGGCGCGACGCCGAGCCAAGGGCTTTGTTTATCGCAAGATACGACCGACGATGGCGGAGAGGGACGACGCTGGGGATCTGAGCGACGTTATTCTGCAGGAAAAATCGGATGCCGAGACGCAGGTAACGGTTGTCACTCGCAGGATGTGCGTGAATAGCAGGTACTCTCGGCTCTCTTAACCTCGCCTCTTATCCGCCGAGATAAGTGGATTTGTATAGGTGCATTCCTAGATAGCACACTGAATTCACAAAGTATTCTTTAAGTTTTCTTTTTTCTGAATTGTAATTCTTTAGGAATTCATAGAAGAATACACTAAGAGTGACAGAGGAAGTTACATGCACCATAAATCGTTTTCCTGACAACTTCTTAAAGTATTCATCTCGAATTCAATAAATGTAAACTTGATGAATTCAAGGGGAATAGTGTTAGAACAAAGAGGATTACAAAATATTTACCCAATGTATGTACACATCTAATATGCAGTAACATTACACCATTATTATAATTTCTCACTCAACAGTGAGATACTCTCAACCGAAGCTCGTTGACAATCGGATGATTCTTCCGTTTCGGTTCTCGTCGTTCGATTCTTTCTTTTACACAATAGAACTATTGCACAAAATTAATTGCACATAACGTTACGCACACAAAATATTGCACGTGGTGACACGCTGCACAAGAACGTCCGGATGGCGGTTAGCGGATACTCGCGCATGACAAATAATTCCTCATAAATTCTTAAAGTATTCACAGTACTGAATCGCGAAGTATTCATTATAATGAACTTCAGAAGAATACTTCAAGACGAACTGATTGAGACTAATTCTTCAGATATTCATTTTTCTAATTCTGTATGTTTTCTTTAAAATGAATTCTCTATGAACTTATGTTCATCTTTGTGCTATCTGGGTTCTCAGAGACCCTGTAATCAGAGACTGGTTATAAGAGGGTTCGTCAAATTCCTAGGCGAGTGGATTTACCTTCTTCTTTTTTATTATATTAATTACAGGGTCTCTAGGTGCATCCCCGCTGCGAGCTCCAAGTTTTTCTGTGGAAAACTCGCGAGGTTTTTGTAAGGAAATATGTGGGGGACCTTCGGTGTACAGGCATTTGCTCGTTGTCACGGTTCCCTTGCTAATTCCGTACAAATTACTGGGTGTTCCCTATTTTTGCATAGTAAAACCTTATACTTGTCGTGTAGTTAAGATACAATTAGTGATAAGATTAAAGTTTGGAAGCTCGTTTTCCTTAACTCTCTATTTCCTTGGAAGTAGATCCCTTTCTACGAGAACTTTATAAACGCGCTTTAAGAAACTTAACACAGCTCGAATTTAATGTTGCGCAGTGTAAACACAAATTGGGCAAGAAACCAAAGAGAGTGCTGCAATTCTCGGACGGTGTGATGGAGGAATATTCGTCGGAAGATGAAGTTGACGCACCAAAGATTAATAAAGTTGTGCCGCAGATAGATACCGTAATTATGCAAATCATACTGATTAAAGTTACGCACATGCGTGTGTAATACGGCTGGCATTTGTCGCACAACAAAGCTTTTAATCACGTTGATTGGCTACAAGCTAGAGAGTGTCTAGATACTCGAGAGCTTTTCTATTCCGCAGCCAAACACGCTTGTAAGATTCGTCGTACGACAAATGTAATAGCGGCCTAACTTGTTACACATTCGACAAGATTCTAAAATAACAATATGCATCTTATAGAAAAATATGAACTGGTTACCATGGGCGTGGTATCAAACTACATGGCTCAGTTGTAAAATGCTGGAGGGTTGCGACTACGTTGGCGAATGCCTGGCCGACTTCTTTGGCATAACCGCGCCCAAGTATCGGTTCGAGATCAACGAGTTCTACAGGCTACAAGCGCTCGAAAAGGAGAGGTTTCTCAAGCAAGATTTGGAAATGGGTGGCTGGAATGAACACAAGAGAAACAATCTCATAAGTAGCGATGTATTAACAGACGGATGCAAGTAATAGTAAACTATTTTGGGAACCGTTTCGTACACATAGCTTTAATTGACAGGGATTTATCGCTCAATTCTAACTTTGCAGATAGAAATAACGAATGCTTGAATGATTTCGATATTTTTCTATGCAATATTAAAGCTTTTAAAAATAATTACGCAAGAAAGTATGTGATGTAGAGCAAAAATTAAAACTTACTGCGTTATATATAACATTTACATGAAAATGCTGCAATACTCGCTGCCTTCAAGTCGATTTAAACTAAATAATGGTGATATATATGAGAATGTGTATATGAAAAGTTTTAGTTGTATTATTTTTTTATACATTATCAATCGTAATTAATAGATTAATATAATTTATTGCGTATAAACTATTATATATTACTTATATTAATAGTATTATAAAAAGTCATTGCGAAAGAAAATTTGTTGAATCTTGTATTTGCACGTGCGTCCAAAAGAAAGTAAATAATGAAACATTACCGGCTGTTAGTTACATCAGCCATGACTCTCACGGGATTATTATATAATCAATAAAGACAATAGGGATGCAATTAATAAAAGTCTCTGTATTTAATAAAACAAACATTCTTTTTATAATCGAAATTTCTTAGCATAAAATTATATTCCCTCAATAAGGCGTGTTTCAAAAGCGTTTTTGTAAATTTACGGATATCAAGAAACGGTACAGCATAGCAAACGTACACTAGTAGTGATAATATGTAATAGGATAAAAATACATATTGCTCTCGTTAGCTTTTCTTCGAATACATCTTGAAATCCTGCACGTGTTTTATTTGCAGTCTTTTGTCGATTAAAGTCCCGAACAACACAAAGTTCAAGAGATGCCCTGTAAAAGTCTTTCAGACATTTGCATTTTCTATATTGCTCGATGCAAACTAAGTCTCTTGTATTCTAAAAAAAAAAAAGAATTATGTCTCCGGCACAAGCCTATGCAGCGCGTTAGTCAAAACTAGCAGGGAGTCCTGGAGACCCTGTGGAAAGTGCCTTTGCAGCCAGGAGCCTTTATACTGCTCTATATGAGCCAGCATCTTGTTCGCTACATCGGTCCTGAAAGTGGGCGGCAGATTACATACTCCTAGATTGATGACCGCGAGTCCCATGTTACTATTCGGATTCACACCGACCCCGATCAGCGTTCTGCCGATTTTACAGGCCGTCAGCATCAGGTCGGATGTCAATTGCAATTCCTGCATCTCCATAGACGCGAACTTGGAGGACAAGTTCGCCTCGTACAACGAATGGGATATTCGTTTAATCTGTTTCGTCATTTTCTGCAAACGCATAACAATATTAATTTGCGATATCAGAGTATCTTGTTATTCATTCTTTAAGTATCAAGATGTATTGTGGACAGTCTGACACTGCGAATGCGTAAGCGCACTTACAGCGAACAGATCGGCTGAAAGATACTCCAAATTCACGTTATCCGGGTCGGTCAGTAGTCTATACAACGTGGAGCCGCGATTATCTGGTATTTGCTGCAAATCCTTGACCGCTTGATTTTTACTCAACGTTAACACCAACGTGTCTATCCGTCCCAGCTCCAGTATCGCGTTGCCGATTTTATACTCCGAATCTTGGAACACGTGTATGTCCAACAACTTTGTGACGCATCTTTCTCTAGAAAACGACACGATTTTGTTAAACACGAATGTATTGAAACGTACATGTAGATCGCAAATTTTGCAAACGGTTACCTAATTGATGCAGACAGCTCAGGGATGTCGTAATTATCATCAGGCCCTAAATCTATTTCCGTCGTTGGATTCCAAGTTAAGCCAGCCGCTACCAAATAACCGATCCACGCGAAAGGATGCGCTGTGAGATGATGACTGCCCGACCAGTGCGCAACAACGACACCGATAGAGTTCTGCTCCAGGGAGGTTTTTATCGCGTTTCTCGTGTTGGCATACGTCGACGCCGGACATCCCGCCAGACTATTGTAACTAGCCGTGCCGGAGCTTGGTAAAACATTACCGCCCGCCAGTCTGAACGGTTCCGTCCATTCGGAGAAATCGTAATCGGCCTGCAACAGATATCCAGAGTAAATGTTGCGAATTTGATTTAAATTATTGCCTCTGTAAATATATTTTTAAGAATTGTGAGGAAAAAATGTTGCTGTTACCTGAAATCCATATTCAACAAGCACGATATTGGTAGGAATATTGTGAAACTCGGATTTGGAATGTAAACTATTGGAGCATAAAAGCAGAGTCGTGTTCGAGCTTAAATTGAGAATATGCCAGAGTTCTTGAAGGCACGAGTAAGACTTGAACACTTCCGACATGTCCGTTTCGAGCGTATCGTTAACGGACCCGCTCAAGTCGAAGCTGTCAGCTTGCACTAATAAAGTGGTTAATCGCGGGCCTACGTGAACGTAATTTAAGCTAGGAAATACTGCGAGCAAGTCTTGGAAGATAGGCCACATTTGCGTCAGGTGATGTTGGCTGACATTAGAATCGACGTCCAACGTTGGAACTATATCTAAATGGCGATCTCTGGAACAGTTCATTTCCAAATATATAATAAATACAGAAAGAGCTGCTAATTAAAAACGTTATTACAGGTTATTGAAATTAAAGAGCGACGAAAGAAATAACGCACTTGACAGAAAATCTTTTACTTGAAAACAACGGACTCTTTGAATCGCAAATGTATAACTGTACCTGCAATATCGGTCTAGAGTCACCATCTCGGACTTGGAGTAGCAGAGCTGCCAGTCGCAATTTTGTACAAGCCTGGAGTAGAGGTGCAAATGCGAGATCTTAAACGACGACAGCAGGTCAATAATGTGTAAAAGGTATTCCAAGGTCGGTACGCGTCCTCTGGGAGAGATGTCCAAGAGTATACCGCGATGGGCGAATCTCGGCTCGTCTTTGATAAAGACGGGCTCTATCTCGCACACTTCCGACCTACTCTGATTCTTACTCAGACGCAGAATCTGCACGAACGTGCAGACCGCGTAGTGCAACCCCGCCAGACTCCCGGCGCTCACTTTGATGCAGTTGTGCGTAATGTGCAGCTGATAGCTGTCCGCGCTGTTAAAAAGGTTTCTATTTACGACGCACTCGATCGTATTATCGTTGAGCAGCTTGCCGCAACTTGGTTGCACTTCGCCAATCTTTACATCATGACCCAATTCCAGCAGATGAGTTCTGCTGATCTCCCACACATCTAGTATTTTATGTACAGATTCACTGCCCTGGGGAATAATTTGTCAACACAATGAGAATACGTACATATGTAAAATTGAGAGAATTCTCCTCCGACGGAACACAAGATTTTCTGAACGTCCGAGAAGTGTCAGTGTAAACCTGAATGTTACCTGTATTATTGATATAAAAAGCTCCTTTCCAGCGATAAACGGGCCGGTAAAATTTTTCAACTCGTTCACAGTCTTCGGCTGTGGCCACAGCAAGTTATAGACACTTCCTTTATCGGTGATAGATTTGCTGGGACTGTCCTTGCCCGCGTCACGCGAAGGCACATCATACGCGGGATCCGAGGACTTGTTGGACTCGACCGACAGTTGGCTCATATTGCACGTGAGACCCTGGCAATAGTTTGTATCTGGATACGGCAGAGCGGCACTGTGTATCGTCTCGCTCTCGTTCAGCATGAAATTCGATAGGAATCTTTGAAGAAAGCAGTGGAGAGATTGCTTCTTCCTGGACAATTCGTACGGCGTTTTCCCTGCAAATGTTCTAAAAGAGAAATATTGCCGTTCGTTGCGTTTGTAGACGCGGGACTCACCCTTTGGCAGCCCGTACGAGAGGATTCGCGCCGGCCTGCAACAATTCCTGACAGATAGCAATATCGCCACGGTTCACTGCGTCGTGTAACGGCGTCGCACCGCAGCCATTCTCGGCGTTTACATTAGCTCCCTTATCTACGTCAAGATTCTGACATGATGAGACGTTCTTTTCAGGCGCCAGCCATCGGCGTCTGTCTATACATTACCAAGTAAACACGCGATAACGTCTTTGTTCCCGTAACATGCTGCCCAGTGCAACGGCGTGTTCTTACTACCCTGCGAGTCCCACGAATTAACGTCTAATCCTGCATCTAGCAACTGCACTACTCTGTCTACTCTGCGAAAAGATGTACGTCCACAGTTTTGCGATACTGATCAAAGCGTATGATTGTGCTTGACAGTTGAGAACCCTGTTTAAAATAATAGATGGAACACCATCAGATTGCACGCAACTTCAATATAAATTCACAAGACTCTTATATTTACATCGAAACTGCATATTATCTAATGTAGTCCGATGACATTCTAATATTTCAAACAGGGAAGGAAGACCGTGAGATTAAACGCCGAGATATTTACGTACTCAGAAGCGGCTGTTGCCCTCAACATTTCCTCGATATAGATACGTCGTATTGCATCGCTCGAGGCAACGTCTACCGCATTACGTCCGCTGACGTTCTGCACAGCCGGGTTGGCGCCGCAATTCAGGAGAGTCCTCACAATGTCCGCCTGATTGGTCTAAACGTAAAAGGCGCGGTGAGACCCAGGGGGAGAAATTCAAAGGGTAGGAGAGTTACAACTGCGCCGCCAAACAGAGGCGCGTTCGGCAAAGCGTGCGACAGACCTTGGAGGCGTACGACAGGAAGGTTCCTTCCTCCAAGATCGGTTGGTTCAGAATCTTGTCCCTCGTGATGCCCTCCGTGGCGTTACCGTTCTCACCTGCGGCAGAGGAAGGCCGTGTAAACAGCAAAAAAAAAACCCCAAGGACGTTCCTATCTACGTTCGTTTCGCCTCGCGGGAGGCTCGAAGGGCGAGGGGGAGGAAAGGAAGAATGCGCGCCGAGCGCGCTCTCCGAGATATACGTACACGCGTCCAGGATCGACCTGATAATGTCAGTGCGTCCGTGTTCGATCGCCGTGCGAATGTTCTCGCAGATGCCTTGCATCTCTGCTCGGGCGCGGGGCCTGCGGCTCGGTGTGTGCTCGGTGTCGGGTCAGGCCGGCGCGTCGCCAGGCGTCATCGGGCTGTCATCCCGCCGTCAGCTGTCGGACAGGCTCGCGCTCGCGCCGGTGTCCCGCCTGGTCGCCGATCCCCCGCACGGCATAGCAGCGGCACCACGACGCGCCCGCACGCAACCTCCGGCTCCACGCACTCTTCGGCGCGTGCGGCTCGGCGCATGCCCGCGCAACCGGCGGGGTCGCCACAGTTCGCGCCCCGCTTCTTGGCAGAGTTCCTCTCGAGGATAGGAACGCCGTTAGACAACTTTTCGCAGGCTACAATTTATTATGACTTACCCGTACAAGTTTATTTGTTACAGCAACAATGGCACCAACTACCGCATCGGATTAATTCCGTTTATCGGCCAGCTGCGCGCGGGTGAAGTTTCGAAAATGGCGAACGGCGCGCGCGCGGATCCTCTCGCTCGAGGGAATTTACGCTCTTGGACGCGTCGCCGAAGCTGCGAGGACGAACGGGCGTTGTCGACGTCGTGTTGATCCCAACAGCTTGTGAGCGCTGCAAATTTCGCGTTAAAAGCAAGACGGCATTTGCGAACGAAGGATTTTTGAAAAGAGCCCGACAAGTTGTTCGCTTGATATTCCCCAGAAAAGGCGTCCAGTGGTACTTTTTCTCCCCCCCCCCCTCTCGAGATCGTGTGAAGAAAAAGTGAGCAAAGTTCCCTAGGTGGCACCACACAGCTGCTTTCCCTCCCCTATGACTCGCGGTGTCAACAATGACGTTTGCCCGTTCGCCCGCAATAATTTGCAAAACGGTAACCTCCGCGGGTCTCGTCGCGCGTGCATGAAGTCGCGGGGCGCAAGGGAGTCCCCGGTGGAGATTGACGCGCTCTGGGACCCGAGAAGAGGACGAGGCGCTCCTTGGAATCGAGTCAGTCCGTTTAATTATGATAGCCATGGAGCTGTTGTTTAGGATGCAAGTCAATTCCGAGATGGTCATGCCGATCGCGCTGAGCGGCGTGAATCTCAAGACGAAGGTGGGGACGTTGAAGCAGGAGGCCGCCGAGAGATGGAATCTGCCCAAGGATTCGATTGGTAAAAATCATTTCGCGCTATTCGCCGGAGATCGACCTCCGCCGCAACGACTCTTTGTACCCTTTGTTGGCCTAAGTTCAACGTCAGCCTCTGTCCGATCTGAAAATGTTTTGAGGCATTAATCTCGGTTCTCACTAGCCCCTCTTTAAAATATTCGCTGGAATATAATCAGATCACGTTAGGTCACATGCAATTTCAATATAAATAAATAAGAGTCTTATTAATTTACATTGAAATTACGATCTAGTGTAATCTCATCATATTCTATTATTTTAAACAGGGAACTGTGTCCCCTTAGAAAGAGACAAAGGAATTGAATTGTGCGAGATCACAGTTGAATGACGGTGAAAACCAGGGTGAGACCAAAAGTCCTTATCGAATTAGCTTGAATTAGCCTTGCATAAGCCAGACTTCAGACTTGTTGACAATCTCTTGTAGACTAGACTAGAGTGATCTCTGGTTGTGATGCTGACAATTGTCTTTCCTTTTAGAATTCATTTACTGCGGGCTTATTCTTGAGGATGACGCAACGGTGGAGTCCGTTGGGCTGAAAAATGGGTCCATGGTGCACGCGCTACAGAAGAAAGAGCCAGAGTCGACGGCATTGAATAAACACATTTCGGAAGACTGCATAGTACAACTGGCATCGGCGTTTAAGTCTTTCAACGAGACACCTGCGTTTAGAAGCGCTCTGCATGTAACTATGCATTTTTTAATAATGACTCCATTATAGTTTATATCGTTAACCGCTATCGAGTATCGTTAGATTCGTACCGGTAAACGTTCTGATACGTTACAGCGTTTAAGCAAACGGCCGGAGATGATAGACAACATTATTTCTTCTTCTCCTGGATTGCACGAGGACGCAGTCGCCATTGCCATGTTGCAGGATACCGATTTAATGTCGCACTTCACGGACGTCGAGACCGTCAGAAGGTGATTAGGCGTGACGATTCTAACTTGTAGCACTCGGCGCGTTCAGAAATGTTATTCTCAAAGAGGGATTTCCTCGCGTCCGGTTTGTAAATACGTATTTAAGTTGTATTTGTTGTGCCTGACGTATTTAGAATTGCAAAGCTGCATCCGGTGTTAATCGAGGCGGCGCAGAATATCGCGGCGGCTGTGCACGAGGAGGCGCACAATATAGCATCCAGCGGCTCCTCGAGCAGTTCAGTGGCGAGTTTGCAGCCCACCACCGGGCGCTCCTACAGCATGGACAGCATGAGCCTCGAGGAGGAAATGGCGCGCGACATTGCGCACTTTTTCGCTACGCAGCCTGTCAACGATAGCAATCTGCGCTTTCCTAACGCGTCGCCAGCCGCGAACCAGCAGCGACCGGACAATCCGCCGTCCTCCACGTCCGACGGTGCCAGTCAACCCGCGGAGAATCCGAGCACCGGCGTCATCACGTCGCAGATGTTCATGGAAGCTATGAGGCAAGCCGCCCTGGCGACCAACTCGAACTCGCAGCAGCCGGCCACGTCGCCGGCGACCTCCTTGTCGCCGGTGCTACCGCTCTTTTCGCCGCCGATCAACGATCTGCAGCGGCAGTTGGCGCAGATGCACGAGATGGGCCTGCAGGACGACACGGTAAATATCCAGGCGCTGCAGTTTACCAACGGCGACGTGCAGGCAGCCATCGAACTCGTGTTTAGTGGTTTCTATGATAATTAATGGACAGGAACGACCAGACAAGGTAATACAAGTGCGGTTTACAGTTTGTACAAAAGGTGTCGCAGAAAAGAACAGTGTTTTCCAGATGAATCAGCCTGCGCGTCCACGGCGCACGTTCTCCATTTGTAACATAAGTTGACGCTGAGTCATAGAGAATGTGTTCAAGATGTTTGTGAAATTTACTACTCGAAGAAGACTGTTTTATACCAATTGTTTTTTAAGGTACATTGTTCACCGAGACTACCTAGCGAGACCTGTGAACTTTTATCTTTCGAGAACTCTATAAAGACTATTATTCTAATTTCCGGGAGTGCGGTAGGATTCGATGTACTTTGTTATTACCACTGACGCAGAAAATATATCAAGGGAATAGTTACTGTGTACATTAAGAAACTTCTGTTCAATGAAAGGCTCTACCTCTGCCGAGCGATGTTACGCAGGACTTTTTGTATTTCCGACAATTTTGCATATTGCTCAAGCGAAATTGACTCTGACTTCTTCCACATGACGTTGTAAGACGAACCAAGGCATCCGGACATATCACACGTGCTGTAGTTATCTTCAAATTCTAATCATTATTGATACATGATTTATACAACTGTTATCTCAGTTTTTTTTCAAGCGCCTGTGTATAGATGACCGATTTCACACAGCATAATAAATTATGCAAAGTCATCAGGGATTCAATCAAAGTTTAACATGCGTGAATAAAAAAATCAATGTAAATATACATGTACATGTACATATATGGACTTTGCTAAGATTTCTCTCTCTCTGTCTCTCTATCTCTCTCTCTCTCTCTCTCTTTCTTTCTGTCTCTGTCTTTCTAACGTTAATATCGTGGCAATTTTTTAATGGCATTGTTATTACTAATTAAAATGCTTTTATTAAACAATCATTGTATAGATGTAAGCAAGTTTTGCTTCAGCATAGTTGCAACGTAAGGTGAAAAATTGTGATAGGAGTCTTTGTTTCGGCATATGGGAGCCACGTGGAATGACGCTTCAACATGTAAATGTGTCGGTGCCAAATACTCGGGAGGGGGGGGATAAATGCGTCATGCACGTCAGCAGTGGTGTACCGCGGTTAACGCGAAATCGAATGCGTCGCGAAAACCCACGCAGCCACGCGTAAGTGCCACGTCTTTGAGTACCGACGAGTCATCGTTTGAGAATCTTTAGGGTCTTAAGTGACGCTACGTTAAATTAAGACTTATCTGATTATTCACAACAGATCTGAGAACAGTCGGGTCAGGAAATGTAAATGTTTCTGACGCGACGCGAGTTGTGATATTAGCAATATAATTTATCCCGCTTCAAGATAATTTCACTTGGCTCTGCAGGGAATTCGTGCCTGTAGAAAGTCATTACAGCAATATGAAATTAATGAGAAATATATATACAATAGAGATTTTCTCGAGAAACTTCAGTGTGTTTCGAAATAGTTTACACATAGAACATTCCGCAGCGCGAAGCCTACAATGTACTCTTTAGCCTAATCTAGAAACATTCTATTTTGTATAAACAAATCGAGGCGCTTGAGAAATTTGCCGACGATGTGCAGTGCATAATATACAATTTGTCCGCTTGCGCGAATTTTTTTAAACGTACTTATCGACTACGAAACAGAACGTTTGTAGAAGAGCGCATTGTGGATGTTGCATCGAGAAACATATTTTATTTTGTAGTCAACAAAAACGTTTCCAAAATTCAAGTGCAAGTTGACAAAGCTTTGTAAGCGTATTGGAACGTTTCCTGTCGCAAGGAACGCGTTAGCGGATCAGGCTCCGTTTTCAAACAATCGACAATAATTGCAGCGTTCTCTTAAAAAGCCGAGACCGCCCTCGCAGTTTATCCCAGGCGCGTATACATGGAGCGCTCTCAACAATTGGTCAATTTTCGTGGCAATTCTCAACGGAGACGTCGGGGGGGGGCACGGCAGGTGCCGTGTTGACAGATTGCGCTTCGCGCGTTAATATTTCAGGAGTCGCGCCTGCGAGAGGGGTGCAACGGCCGCGCGGTACAACACTGGCACCGGCGACGGTGCGTTGGTGCGTGTGCCGGTTCGCCGGTCCCTGCTCACGCATCGGAGCCGCGGAGCCGGGCGTCGCGAGGCCCCCCACAAGTAAAGGGGACTTCTGCAACGGTCCGTCAGTAGGAATCGGGATTTCGCGTGGCTCGGACGTGCCGGGACCACACGGCGGAACCTCCCGCGCGCAGTTCGGCCGCGAGTGACACGGCTAGCACGTGCTCGGGCGGCGTCTCGCGTGCAAGCGCGCCCATCGATTCGCACACACACACGCGCGCGCGTGCGCGCGCGCACCCGAGGCACACGTGTCCAGTGTTGGCACCCTGCCCGATCGGGTGCCGGCTGAAGGGTGAGAGACGGCCGACCACTGACAAGAGAGGCTGTCAATACCGTCGTGTATTCTCGGCGCGATGACCGGGATTTGGAAGAGCCGCCTGGCTGGATAAGAGCGCGGCAGCGAGACGAGTGCATTCGGGATGTGCGAGGTTATGGGGAAGCAGAGAGCCTGACGTTCGGGAGGATCTGTTGGCCGCAGGACTGCGAGTTTAGCGAACGAGAAGGTGAACAGGCAAAGGGCGGTCTTTCCGCCGCGCGTTCAACGCTAGATACGGCCCGCGAGCTCGAATTTTATCTTATAAACTCGCGACGGTTCCTCGCCGCCTGCCTCTCCTGTCGCCCCGCGAGTCTTGCGCCCGGGGGGCGAGCGCGTGACGGAACTGACGGAGGAGACGGACGGCCAGTCCGAACCGGCGTCGTACGCGCGGCGAGAATGCGGTCCCTCGATTTTGCCGAGGCTGGTGAAGCCGTTTGCGAGCGAACGAGCCGGTCGCGTGCGCGCGCGAGCGAGCGCGTGGAAGCGCAGGGCCGGTTTAAGATACCCCTCCGTCACTCGTCGACCCTCACCGTTCAATCGACTTTCCGTTTCTTCCACTCCCGTTTCTGGCAGGTCGCAATATCGACCAGACGATGACAGTTTGTGCTCCGACCAAGATTACGTAATATTAGATTTATACTGAAAGCGCACTGGCCAATATTTGCCAATGCGACAAGTATATTGGTCCAGTATTGACACAATATTTAAGTAATATTGGCTAAGTAAGAGAAGGCGTCCACCTTACAATGTTGGACCAATATATTGGCAATACTTGATTTACATTATTTCCCAATGTTGCGCCGATATTGTTGCACTGGTCAACTTGGCGTAGTTAGCTGGAATAAGAAAACGTATACTTGTTTCACTCTAATTTATTGCACTAGCGCAGCAAATAGGAAACGAGCCTTTTGTTTGCCTTTAGCTCGCACCGGCCCTGCGTGGAAACGTTTGCACTCGCAGTAAAGGCCGCGGCATCGGTCGGCGTTGCTAAGCGCGCCGGCGATTTTTTTTTTTTTAAGTTCGCCGCCTCTTCTGCAACCTCCGTTCCGCGAGGCAACTTTCATCTCTCGTGTCTCGTTTCGTCCCCCAATCTTTATCCGGCGCGATCGAAAGACACGTATTGATCGTTGCCTCCAAAGTGGCGAACGCTTTACACCTCGTCCTGTCGTCGATTCTCGTTTAGACATTGTGAGATAACATAAAAGCGGGATGGTCCCAGAGATCTAGAATGCGCGCCAACGAGATATTTGATGAGATTCACGCTGGTTGGCTCTTTTCGAGCAGATCTAGAGGAAAGTGTTCTCTAATATGAGATAGCAGGTTTTCAACATCAAAATTTAATCGCAAAACTTTATTCACAACGATCTAACAATGAATTTTCCATCAAACAGATTTCGCTCCAAGGGCAATAAATTCATGGTGGTAGCAACCGATGATGCCTGTTAATTTAGCAAAAACCAGGCTATCTCATATTAGCAGCTTATCTCATAATAGAGGACTTTTCTTCAACAATTTCGAGAAATCACATTTCTTTTTTATTATTCTCTCTCCAATATTTAAAAATACTCTCAATTTTGAAACCCTGTCGAGATTAAAAATACACTTGTTGATGAAGCTACTTCGTAAATTTCGTTTGCGTTCCGTCTTTAAAACGAAACGAGAGTCGGGAGGAGAGAAACGATATGTGCAAAGAACAGAACGCCGCAAAATCTGAAGAGCAAGGCGAGAGCCCATAAAATCGTTTCGCGAAGCGGAGAGCACTCGGCCTTCGTTTATAAAGGCAAAATTCGAAGAATCGAGCGAAAGGCCGCGAAGACGTGGATCTCTGATTGTAGAAGCAAAATCCAAGGTACCGATCTGCCTACGGCGATTGCGTACTTTCAAAATAAATAGTAGTCGGTGACGAGATCAAAGAACGAGCAAAGATCGACGGAATCTTACAGTTCGCGATGCCTTGTCCATCCTCGGGCTAGCGTTATGTGAATTTAGAGTTTGTCTCGTAATAAACTATTGACCTGTGAGTCGCATCTATTTTTAGCAGGGATGTATATCATTTTTCTCAGAGTGTAATCTTTCTTTGTTGCAGCT